TTTTTTACCAATAGAAAGAATTTTTCAATGATTTACTCCTTGATATTTATTCCTTTATAAGCAGTTATTTATTACTGTATTCTAAATATAATTAGCCTATGGTGTGTCTCCAACTTTAAAATGCTTTAATTTAGGCTATTTTTGAAACAAAGACGACAAGACTGTGGAGGGAGGCGATCGCGTTGCTCCATTATGAGCGCGCAAGTCGCGCGCCTACATTTGAAATCGAACTTGAGCGCGCAAAAAGACGTGAGCAGCCTTTTAACGGCTAGATCATGCTGACTCAATAGATTGTGTTTTCTTAATGTTTTCGTTTTTATTTGTACACTTGACACATTTGAATATAGCCTAAATAATGCAACAAAACGAAAATAAACCTACACACGGTCCTACAGTCTATTATTAGGATTGTTTTTAGGCTATTTGGGTTTTTGTGTGTTGTTTTAAAACGCCTTGATCGTCAGGACGAAAGTTAACCCATAGCTTTGAAAGTAAAGAAGAATATAAAGCCTGTATAAACGAGAGCTTTTGTTGGGATTTTTCATTATGTGCCAGATAGCAGTTATACTTTTTGCAGCGTGTGGTGTGGTCAGGGGCGCGATTGCGACTGTTACTATTTTTGCAGTTAAAAAGTCACTTAATTTTCAAAGAATTGTATTATTATTATAGTTTTATTTATTTGTGATGTTTTTTCGTTGTTGTTTTATAAATGCTCAATCACAATTGTTTAAAAAACGTTTAATCAAAACATCACGGTTTTTTTTTTTTAGTCGACTAATCGTTGCGCAGGACTCGACTTTGGTCGACTAAGGATTTCTTTGGTTGAATACAGCCCTAGAAATATCGATATTTTCGACAACACTACTGCAAAGAGATTTGGGGTTAAAGAAAATAATTTTACAATGAGCTGCTAGTCAAGCAAATGTGTAGGCTACTTTGTTTCTGATATACTGATATTCTGGTCTATAACTCCTAGTCGAACATCCTGCTGTCCTGTATTTTGCCCTCTCATTGGCTGTCAGAACGCTTTTCACACAGCAGGATTTTGAATCACCGACAGGTCCAGATATCTAGCATGCCAAATATCTCATGGGGACTGGCGACTCGTCTGTGATTCTCTCAGATCGCGTCTTTGCTCATTCACACTGCGTGATTGTCACTCGCGTGAACGAGCACCGATTTGCCTGTGATTTTGGGCATTTGTCTGCGATTTCTCAAAACCTGTCGGCGAGCCAAAATCGTGCGGTCTGAACTCGGCTTTAGAGAGTTGATTAGCTGCCTCAGGTGTGTTTAATACTGATTAGAGGTAAACTCTGCAGTGCCGTGGCCAGCAAGGAACTCAGTTTGACACCCCGCACTAAAACTTATTTTTGAGTTTTGAAACTTACTTGTCTGCTGTCTCTGTTGAAGTTGTGTCCGTCTCTGCTGGATCAAATGTATAATCTTGCTCTTCAGTCTTCATTGAGAACGGAGTACCAACCGACTCGGTCAGCGGTATTGTGTCTGTCTGGCAAGCAACATCTCTTGTTCGGCTGCTCTGTTCTGATGTGCTGTCCTTTACAAATAAAAATTACACTATTAGCGCGATAAAAAATAACAACTTTAGAAGTCTAATATGTTATAATGAACTTGAAAAATTCAAAGGCAATTTGGAAAACAAACACATAATACTTACTTCTAGATGCGTAGCTGGATCACCAACAGTTGGCACTGCTACATCCTTCGCAAAACCTGCTTCATTCTGAGCCTCGTTCAAAAAGCTGTCCGGTGTAAAATGATTCGAGCAGACAAATGAATTTTGGTAGAGTTGAGGGAGCATTTTCTAATAAAACAAAATTAATCCACCTCGTCTTCATGGGCTCAGATTTTGGGAGTAAATATATCGAGTTATGTGGATTAATACATCCGACTACACAACACTGACAACACTTGGGAGACATCCTCGTCAGTGCAGCAATACAACTCAACTCGCTGTGAACTCGATCAGGGCAGGTCTATGTTAAAACAGCAGTGTCTGTCGACACTCGTGGGCGGGGCCTGTGGATTTAGTGACATCACTAAACCCACATTCTTAAAGCAGCATTTGGTAACTTTTGAAATTTTATTGTCTTCTACTACTGTCGTAAAATCTGCATGGTTAACCCAGGGGATACACGTGCATTTGTTGACATGCCGATGCGATCTTGAGTTTTCGCGAGATCTCACGTCTTGGGCAGACTGCCAGCGTTGCGTGTGAAATGTCTTTATCCCAGGTACATTGGCATATTTCAGCATGTCATATGAATATAATTTCATGGGCTTTATTTTATTTTTTATTTTTCAAATGCCAAAAGATTGCGTAGCTCACGTTTCCAAGCCAGCATATTTATAGTAGCCTATTGGCTGTTTTACACAATGGATATGCTAATTCAATTTAATGTTTGTGTGGTAGGTAATAGCTATATATTATTAACAATATAATATCAAACAACCATAGATGAATCTGCCAATTTGAATACTATTTGTCTCTGTAGCTAACAATCATCTGAAACAACACAATCAAGTATACATATAACAACTCTGAAGCTATGATCACAAATGATAATATTATCGTCCTCCTTTCAAACTATCTACTTGTTTAGTAGACCACCGACTAAATTATCAGATTGATAATTCGCTACTCTACTAGAATTACTTGATTCATGGGGATAAATAGAGTGCCGAAGTGATGACGTCACTTTGTAGGACAACTCAGAAGTTAGCAGCATGGGTTCCCTCGGTCGAAAAGCAATGCATTTTCCCATAGACTTTTGGAAAATCGCAAAAAAATAAGATTTCTGTTCAACAATATGGGTCAACAATTGTGACCCATACACGTTTTGTCTATCAAGATTATCTTTACAAGTTAATTAAAAATGTATACATTTTGAAGCCTATATAAAGTTAAAAAAAAAAACACAAACAGACACTACAGTTTTAAAAACAACACAAGCAGGTTATACCTGGTGTGTTTTATGCCATAAATCAAAACGTGAAATTATTTAGAGGCTTTTTTCACCACAGACCTTATTTCAAGCGATGTAGCAAAAACCATTCAAAAATCCCATAGACTTCAGAGCGAGGGAACTGATAACGTGATCACTTCGGCACTCAATGGAGGACCAGATAACTTCTGTAACACGGCTAGGCAGACAACAAATTCTTAAAAAAGGAGATAGTATGCAAGAAATATAATAAACTTACTTGTCCAACAGAATGACGGCCAGGTCAGCATCGGTCGGACATCCTTCCTCGTCCTTTAACTCACGCCAGCGAGGGAATGCTTGACCAATATTAATCCTCGTCCGGGCTTTGACTTTATCACTCTCCCGTTTTCTCTTCCTAGTCTCCTCAGACAAAACCTTTACCTTCTTCGGTTTAGTTGCTGCTTCGGCCATTACAACAACACGCTGAGGAAAAACAATCCCGCGCGTTGAGCACTCGGAGAATGTGGGGGTGGTGGGGGAAGTGACGTATGTAGTAGTGGGAAGTTCGGATCATTTTACTGACTCGGATCTTTGAGTCTCGTTCTGCAATATGAACGAATCTTTTTTTTCGAGTCATTTCCTTCATTTCAGCGTAATATAATTAAAATGGCAAACTAAATATCACACAACACATCTAGTACTTACGAAAATGTTGATTGCATTGGTAAAATAAATATAGTAATGCAGCCAAAGCCAAATTATAAGAAACAAAATGTTTTGTTATTTGATTAATTGTCTGATTCTGTTAGCTCCTCTCGTTTCTCGAGACGTTAACAAAAATTTGGCAACCAAATTTGCCAGTAAATTGCTGTAAATTTTACTGTAGGCTAAATCTTTCACAGTATCATGTTATTAAGTGTTAGTTTGTCCAGGAATTTGCAACAATCGTCCACTAGATGATGGCTCATTTTTCATGTTACCACCATGAATGAAAGAATTGTACTTACAGTGAATTTGACTTAACGTTGCTAGTAGGTCTAATAATAAAAAGGAACATAATTAAACAATGGTTAGACTAAAAACATGAATAAAGTGAGTGATATTACATGTTTTAAAAAAAATTATGATATTACAAAATAATATTTTACTGTCTGGTGTCCCCTTATGAAAAGAAAATATAGGCCCTATTTCCCTACATATGAATGATCAATATATTCAATTGTTTAACAGTATATTTGAAAATATACAGAAAAATATATGGTGTTAATATATTACAATATATTGAATAATACATAAGGAATATATATGAAAATATGAATAATACATATTTTCATATATTTACTAATATATAAGTATGTAATTTTATATTCAGTAATACACTTCATAATATGGGATTAAAGTTATTCGTTGCTACGAGAGTCTGTGATGGATTTCCGTCAATATCATTATAAGGGGAAAAATATATTTCAAAATATACAAAAAATGGCCAAAAATATATATTTGCTTAAATATATTTCAAAATATATTTACATAAATATATTTTCTACAAATACTTTTTTGGGCCATTTTTTATATTTATTTATTTATTTTTAAAACATATAGAAATACATTTTGCCCTGCATATATTTCAGTCCAAAAAATTTTTTTTTGACACATTGGGAAACATACACACATATATATATACTGTATATATACTATATATATATATATATATATATATATATATATATATTGTAGATTTTTTTTTTTTTTTTAAGGGTTAGCCTAGGTCATGCACCCTAAAATTAAAATGAGGGGCTTAAATATATTTGGCCAATTTATACATTTTTCAAATTATAATTTGACTGGTTTCATTTTTTATTTTGGGAATTTATTCTTGCAATTTCCATGTTGGTTTACTATTTTACATTTTAGGCTGCCACATTACTTATTCTAACTTGTGTTAGTGTGAAAAGAGAGACACTGTGGAGCGATACCCAAATTATGAAATGGTGTTTAACAGGTTTTAACCGAGTCATTAACGTATCCACAAAAAAACAATCAAACAAACAAAAATCAGCCTTCTTTAACACATTTATTACCTCCACTGAACATTTCTTAAGGAAAGTAAATGAGTTAAACTAGTTTGTTTCTTCTATTGATTTTCCACATGCTGCTTCAGTTCACACACACAAACGGCTTTGTTACATGACACGAATCATCATTCCAGTTGCCATCTGTTGCAAGATAAAACAACTTTTTTTTAATCATTTGTGTATTATAAAAACATGTATTTATTTAGTTTATTTGGACAGTTTATGAGCATTAACAGCAGTTACTTACAGTTATAGTTCATCTCAATGCAGTGCTCATATCCATCGTTATCAGGCTCTCCAGGAGACCATGTTTGAAAGTTCATTTTGGTTCCATCACTCCAGAGCCAAAATCCCTCCTGTGAACCGAAGAGAAAAAGGACATTGTGTTTACGTCCACAGCTTGCATAGCTTGTCTTTATTCATTTAAAAGATGATTCCTCATAAACCCTAACCCAATCACCACTTTAAAAACCTCACAAATCTAAACAGAAATGATTTAGTGAAGAATATAGGGCTAAATTGCTCATTTATCAGCCATCTATTTCACATCAAATTTCACAATAGAAACGCTTGAGTATGACATCATCATGGTGAGTGGTTACTACGAGGACCAAAAAACATAAATGATAAAAACCCGTCTCTCTTTTTGCATTTAAAAAAATATTTTAATAAAAAGCATGATAAAAAAAATAAAAAATAAAATAAAAAATGATTGCATACCTGAACAGCATCATGTCCTCCAATCCAGGCCCGAGTTGAGCCCCCAGTTTCGTATCTAACCAGGTTCTGGATAAGCATGTACTCATCATTGCTGTGCACAGAAGCAAGGTTCGCATCATAGTCCATGCAGAATTTCTGGAGACAGGCGGAGACATGAACAAACACCACTATTTATATACATATATACACATGGTTATATATTTAAAATTATTTTTTATGCCTTCAAATGTATTATTTTGACATGAAGTCTAAAATCTGCCCTTTGAGGTGGGACTACTTTTGTAGAAAAGGTTCTGCTTATACTGTATATAGATTAGATATAACTAATCCTAAATGAATCAGTTAATAACTAACTCAAAACTAATGTAACTAATAAGTGATCCTACACACAACTCTCATGATAACATGAAATGTGTTGTGTCTGTATTTTTGTGTCTGTAAACTTCATCGTAATTTCTTTACTGCTAACATAGTTTTGTTTTTAAACTCTAAATGAAGGTGACTTGACTTAAGTTGTATTTAGAATATACTTATGATTTTTGTCATTTTAGAAGCTGAATGCATCATACCTCTGCATCAATCCACGTTAGAGCGTAATTGAAAAACTTGAAGCATCTGCACTCAAAGGCATACCACCCGTCCAGACAGGCTGTTAAATGGAAGTTTTGTGTGTTATTTCATATTTTTCTCTTTTTTTTTACCATTAATGACCTTTCATGTCATATAAGGATAGAGTATGTAACTTTTGTCCCTTTACCGGTTGAAAAATAAAAAGGCATGCAACATTTTGGTCGTTGTATACACTTTCAGAAAAAAGGTACAAAAGCTGTCACTGGGGCTGAACCTTTTCAAAAGGTAAACTTTTGTCCATTTCACGAGCTAATAAGTACATTTTAGGTGCTAATATGTCCATTTCAGGAGCTTATATGTACATTTTAAGTCCTAATCTGTACATTTTAGGTGCTAATATGTCAATTTCATGAGCTAATATGTCCATTTTAGGTGCTAATATGTACATTTTAGGTGCTAATATGTACATTTAGGTGCTATTATGTACAATTTAGGTGCTAATATGTACATTTTAAGCGTTAATATGTACATTTTAGGTGCTAATATATAAATGTAGGTGCTATTATGTACATTTTAGGTGCTCATATGTACATTTTAAGCATTAATATGTACATTTAAGGTGCTGATATCTACATTTAGGTGCTATTCTGTACATTTTTAGTCCTAATATGTCCATTTTAGGTGTTAATTTGTAGATTTTAGGTGGTAATATATACATTTTAGGTGCTAATATATACATTTTAGATGGTAATATGTACATTTTAGGTGCTAATATGTCAATTTCATGAGCTATTATGTCCATTTTAGGTGTTAATCTGTAAATTTTAGGTGCTTATATGTACATTTTAAGTGTTAATATGTAAATTTTAGGTGCTAGTACATTTTAGGTGTTAATATGTACATTTTAAGTGGTAATATGTACATTTTAGATGGTAATATGTACATTTTAGGTGCTAATATGTCAATTTCATGAGCTAATGTGTCCATTTTAGGTGTTAATTTGTAGATTTTAGGTGCTAATATTTACATTTTAGGTGCTAATATGTACATTTTAGGTGCTAATATTTACATTTTAGGTGCTAATATGTACATTTCAGGTGCTAATGTGTACATTTTAAGTGTTAATATGTACATTTTAGGTGGTAATATGTACATTTTAGGTGCTAATATGTCAATTTCATGAGCTATTATGTCCATTTTAGGTGTTAATCTGTACATTTTAGGTAATAATATTTACATTTTAGGTGCTAATATTTACATTTTAGGTGCTAATATGTACATAGGTGCTAATATGTACCACTAAGGTACCAATATGCAGCCTTTGGGTACAGAAGTTTATATTTTGAAAATGTACAGCCCCAGTGACAGCCTTTGTACCTTTTTTTTCTGAGAGGGCTTACCGGAACATGCTTACCGGAATAAATCTATTTACATTTTATTTTTATTTTTTTTAACAAAGAAACATCATGATGTGAAGAGATTTAAGATTTTGCACTCTTCCCAGTCACCATAAGTATTTTTTTTCTTGTTTCCGAGATGCTCTTTAGAAATTTTTAAAGCATGCAGGAGAACATGATCATCAGGTATTACACACACTCGTTAACATAGAGAAATGCAAAGGTTTTAGACTTTTGGACTGTACTAAGAGAAGTATAGAAGAGAAACCTTACCAGCACAACGTTCATTTACAACAGGATCAATTTCCTCTTAAAAAGAAAGAAATACTGCATTATTGAAACAGAAGTGCTACTGATACTGTATTAGATCATTCTTCTGATTAGTCATTACACAGTCCCAGCTCTGCTAATGTATAGTTCATGTTAAAACAACAGTTATGATGTGAAATTACCTGAAGCAGTCAAAGCTACGAGAAGACAGAGAGACAGGTAGACAGTCCACGCCGCCATTGTTTCTCAAAGAACACTGAAACAGAACAATACATATATTAATATTACAAAGGTTAAATGGTTCAGTGATGTATTTTCATGACACAAACCTGTTCAGTAGATTCAGTATTGTGTTGTGCAGCCCTGGTTTATCTTTATATACTGGAGGAGAGTTAGTTTATCATCATCAGCACCTGCTCATGTTCTCACATCCTGGTCAAATATGGCTTTTTTTATCGTTTGTTTTCTATAGTTTGTACTTGACCCACTTATATTTAAAAGATATAAAGCATATTTTAATACTTTAGTGAAATTGAATGATAACTTTTATTGGTTAATGAAATATAAGGGTTGTCCCATGAAAACTAAACGGTTACTACTGTAATTGTTTATGGTACAGTACTGTGTTTTGTTTGACCACACATTTAAGTTCTGCTGATGTTTATTTTTATTTATTTTTTGCTGTAAATATCCAAAGTCCAAAGTAAGGTTGCTACCATATTTTTTATGGTAAAATACTGGCAACCAAGCTGACGTTTTTTTTTTGGTTTTTTTACCGTAAATATTTCACAATGTGGTTTTTTTTTTTTTTTTGGCCAGTAAATTTAAGTCTTGTAAAACATAAAAGGTTGCCATCACAGCTACAAGTTTGTTACTGCAAATTTCACACATAGTTTTTTTTAACAGTTTAAAAAGAATAAATAATATATATATTGTTACAAACTGCTCTGAGGAGAGGGTTAAGATCCAAATGCAGCTTTATTTGAGGGCAATCCAGAGGCGTAATCCAATGTACAGGCAAGGGTCATACACAGATAGGCAGTCCGACAGATACACAGAGAAACAAACAAAACAGGCAGGGACCAGAGGCAAGAGAGTAATCCAGGGAACAGGGCAAGATATCCAAAAACCAAGAGACAAGAAAACCGTAGAATGCTCAGAATTGCAGTGTAACACTAAAACAAGACTTCGCGGTGAGTGACTGAATGAACCTGGTATATATAGCCAGACTAACAAGATGAGACAGGTGAATGCAATAGTGAATGAGGTACAGGTGAATGTGATCAGTGATGATGAGTCCGGGCAGTGAGTTCTGGGAACTGTAGTTTGTGTGAAACATAGTCTTATCTGGAGTGCCCTCTGGAGGCTCAATAGGGCACTCCAGCTGGTAACCGTTACATAGCCCCCCCTTTAAGGAGCGGATTCCAGACGCTCCTCACAATGTCCAGGAGGGAGGTGGAGCGGAGGCGGACCTGGGGGCGGGATGGAGGGCCAGGCCCGTGGAGAACGGAAAAGGACCTGGAGACGGCGGCGGAGCTGGCTGTGGAAGCGACCAGGGCGGAGCAGGCTGTGCAGGCGAAGGCCAGGGAGGAGCTGTCGGACCCTCGGGCGTCCAAGGCGAAGCAAACTGTGGGCATGGCCAGGGCAGAGCAGGCTGTGGACGTGGCCAGGGCGGAACTGTGGGTCCCTCAGGCGGCCACAGTGGTGAAGACCCCCCAGGCAGCCACGGCGGTGAAGACCCCTCAGGCGGCCACGGCGGTGAAGACCCCTCAGGCGGCCACGGTGGTGAAGACCGCTCAGGCGGCCACGGCGGTGAAGACCCCTCAGGCGGCCACGGCGGTGAAGACCCCTCGGGAGGCCACGGCGGCGAAGACCCCTCGGGAGGCCACGGCGGCGAAGACCCCTCGGGCGGCCACGGCAGTGATGCCCTCTCAGGACCAGGCACCGGCTCAGGAACAGACACTACGACAGAAATGGTCACAAGGACAGACACAGACACAGAAACAAACACTGGATCGGGCATCTTGTCCGGAGACACTGGATCGGCCATCTTGTCCGGAGACACTGGCTCGGAGGAGGCCATCTTGTCCGGAGACACTGGCTCGGAGGCGGCCATCTTGTCCGGAGACACTGGCTCGGAGGCGGCCATCTTGTCCGGAGACACTGGCTCGGAGGCGGCCATCTTGTCCGGAGACACTGGCTCGGAGGCGGCCATCTTGTCCGGAGACACTGGCTCGGAGGCGGCCATCTTGTCCGGAGACACTGGCTCGGAGGCGGCCATCTTGTCCGGAGACACTGGCTCGGAGGCGGCCATCTTGTCCGGAGACACTGGCTCGGAGGCGGCCATCTTGTCCGGAGACACTGGCTCGGAGGCGGTGACGTGAACAGAATCTGGATCAGCAGAAGTGATTTGAACAGTCTCTGAATCAGCCATCTTGTCTTTAGACACTGGCTTGGAGGCGGCCATCTTGTCTTTAGACACTGGCTTGGCAGAAATGACGTGAAGCATCTCTGGCTCGGCAGAAGTGACATGGAGCGTCTCTGGCTCGGCAGAAGTGACGTGGAGCGTCTCTGGCTCGGCAGAAGTGACGTGGAGCGTCTCTGGCTCGGCAGAAGTGACGTGGAGCGTCTCTGGCTCGGCAGAAGTGACGTGGAGCGTCTCTGGCTCGGCAGAAGTGACGTGGAGCGTCTCTGGCTCGGCAGAAGTGACGTGGAGCGTCTCTGGCTCGGCAGAAGTGACGTGAAGCGTCTCTGGCTCGGCAGAAGTGACGTGAAGCGTCTCTGGCTCGGCAGAAGTGACGTGAAGCGTCTCTGTCTCGGCAGGGCTGACATGGAACTCTGGCTGGGCTGTCTCGGCAGGATGAGACTCTGGCTGGGCTGTCTCGGCAGGACGAGACTCTGGCTGGGCTGTCTCGGCGGAACGAGACTCTGGCTGGGCTGTATCAGCGGAACGAGACTCTGGCTGGGCTGTCTCGGCGGAACGAGACTCTGGCTGGGCTGTCTCGGCGGAACGAGACTCTGGCTGGGCTGTATCAGCGGAACGAGACTCTGGCTGGGCTGTCTCGGCGGAACGAGACTCTGGCTGGAAGGTGAGCGCAGGCTCGGCAGGGCTGACGGTGAGCGCGGGCTCGGCATGAAGCTCTGGCATAACCTGAAGCTCTGGTTGAGTAGATACCACGGGTTCATGGAGCTCCTTCTCTACAACGCCCACAGTAAACAAGGAACCGCTTAGCAAAAGGGCCTGGTTAATATAGTCCTCTAATGTCCCGTGACAATTGTGTAAGGGCATGAGTGAACTGAGTGGTTCAGAGAGTCCTCCTCGGAAAAAGATCATTAAACACTCTGTGCTCATTGAGGCGAAATGGGCCAGTTCAATGAACTCAGAAACATAGTCCTCGACGGACCGATTCTCCTGACGGAGACGCAAGATCTGGACGTCTGGGCTTCTTGTTGGCATGGCTGCTGGATCTCGGGGTTGGCGAAGTCTTCTGTTACAAACTGCTCTGAGGAGAGGGTTAAGATCCAAATGCAGCTTTATTTGAGGGCAATCCAGAGGCGTAATCCAATGTACAGGCAAGGGTCATACACAGATAGGCAGTCCAAGACAGATACACAGAGAAACAAACAAAACAGGCAGGGACCAGAGGCAAGAGAGTAATCCAGGGAACAGGGCAAGATATCCAAAAACCAAGAGACAAGAAAACCGTAGAATGCTCAGAATTGCAGTGTAACACTAAAACAAGACTTCGCGGTGAGTGACTGAATGAACCTGGTATATATAGCCAGACTAACAAGATGAGACAGGTGAATGCAATAGTGAATGAGGTACAGGTGAATGTGATCAGTGATGATGAGTCCGGGCAGTGAGTTCTGGGAACTGTAGTTTGTGTGAAACATAGTCTTATCTGGAGTGCCCTCTGGAGGCTCAATAGGGCACTCCAGCTGGTAACCGTTACATATATGAAGAGTTCAGATGCAAAAGCCTTTAAATGCCATTTAGAATTTTCTTCTTTAATGATGATTTTTATCAAACTTGTATATTTAAGTTCAGTAATTTCACTTAAATAACAATTAATAGGTAATTATCATTGCCATTTAAAAGAAATCACTGAACTTAAAAATACAAGCTTGATAAAAATGATCATTTTAGAAGAAAATTTCAAATGGCACTTAGAGGCTTTTGCATCTGAACTCTTCATATATATATATATATATATATTGACATTTGTTTGAACAATAAAATGTTTAGATGGAGTGTACAAGAAAAGCTTCCTCCTGCTCTCGTCTCTTCTGCTATTCTACCTCTAGTTTTACTGAATCCCATTGAACTTATGAACACCATCAAAAAACATAATATCATACACAATCTGATGCATTGGTTTTGTGGAAGATATTGTATCTTTAAGATGTGTCTGACCGTCATGTGACAGAAAAAGAGCATCATGTTTCCATAAAATCATGTGTTCTGGTTCTGTTCTGCGTTCTGTATGAGCTGCAACTGTGTTATGGTGTTTTTATTACTGCCATTACAGTAATCCACCCTGCTGGTGATGAAAGCATAAACAAGTTTCTCTAAGTCTTGACTGGAAACAAAGCATCTAATTCTTGCAATATTTTTCAGGTGATAGTATGCTGATTTATTTAAGACTTATGGTCTCCTATACTCGCATTATAACCTCTTCTTTCCAAGTATGACCTGAACCATTTTAGGCCTATCCCAGAGAGCCTGACCCAGTTTTCCAGCCTGTCTAGAAGTATGTTAGTTAGTTAGTACTTTATTGTTCAGACTTAGCTGAAAATTGGTCTTTGGTCTCATCACAAAACAATTAACAATAAACATCCACCCAATACATCTAATAATACACAACATCCACAATATTAAAGATTAAAATATTCACATTTCCACCTCTTATTCCAAAGACTTGTTTTGTTTGTTTATATTAATCTCCTTTGGTTTTCTGTAGCGGTGACGTGATGGCAATAATTCAAAAACATGATTCAATAGGTGTGTTGTGTCTCTTGTCGAAGCTTTTCTCTGAACAGCAGTTTGATATCTGTGCGATTGATTTTTGCTTAATTTTTCCCGGTACTCTTGTAATTCTGTCTAATTTGACTTTTTTCACCGATGTAACTAATCCAAACCACACAATAATATTATACCCTAAAACACTCTCAAAAAAAAAAAGGACCAGTGTTGTTTACATCTTGTAAAATGGTCTATACGGCTCTTTGTTTTAGGATATTAACGTTTCATGTTTTGATAGTGTATGATAAGTTTTGTTTTCACTTCATTTTCTCTATGTGAGAATGAAACAGCTGAGTGTTGATCATCTTAAACCTCTTCAAGATGCTTTCATAGAGGCTTTGTTCATCTGTTCGTGTGACTGTAATTTGAATAAATATGTACAGCATTAGTGGGCAGATATTATTAGATCAGACAGATGAACATGTTTGTTGAGTGTTGTGGTAGATTCAGGCGCCTCCTGTAACCGGTTTAGCAAGAAAGATCACATGGAGGTGTGTTTTAAGTGAAAGTGAATCTAAACTTTACGGCTGCTGCTCTGTTTTCATATTGACCAAATCCTGGACATGTTTCATATGAAGAGTGTGATTTATTCACGTTTCTTGCTTATTTGAAGAAATATTCTAGCAATCTTTCTATAGAGATGGCAGAGGTAACTTCTGATCCTACAGGTAAGCGGACTCAACTAATGTAGGCCTATATGATGTTGTTGCCAAATAGATTTTAATCCATAATTATCTCTGAGATGATGTAGGTTTTTTTCTTAATTTCTTTCATTTATAGAGAAATGGTTCTGTCATAGTGCAACCTTACAATTTTGTGTTCTTAGTCTTAACGTTTTTTTCATGCCAAAATGACTAGAAATAAAGAGAAACAAATCGCAGACGAATGATCAATTTACGGCAAAAACACAAATAGTATTTTACCATTGTATTGAAGGAAAAGAAATTCACCAAGTTCATGTTTACGAGAGATGACGTAGTGAACAGTGAACACACCTTCAGCTGTTAGGAAAAACAAGCAGAACAAGTTTCAGTCTAATGTTGCCAATGACAAATAAAACACAGCCATAATATTTGCCTAAAGTATAGTTTAATCATTATTTTGTATTAATTATTAGTTAATTAAAAAAATCTGGCATAATTGGATCATTGTACTCGGGAAAAAATAAATAAAAAAGACTGTAATTTATTCAAAGTGCATTATTATATTGGTCTAATTGAAAACCATGGTGTTCAGTTGAACTAAAAGCAAATAACCATCCGCATAGAAGAATTGAGAATAAACAGACTAATACAATTTTTCAAAAGAGAAAATTCTTGCTAAATGACTTTATTTATTTTCAAATTAAGTTGTAAAAATACTAAATATGACCTACATGCAATTTTTAGCTTATGTCTAAAGAAAATATTGATTACTGGTACGGCCATAACAATATAAATATTTTTATCAAAATCAAAATATAAGATTTGAACTAAACCAGAAATATAATTTAAGAAAAACGTATATATTTGGCTGTAACAAATCTAACAAATATTTTTTTAAGCTGGCCCAATGTATAATTTTTTACTCTGTATAGGTCAGAAACAAAATTTAAACTATGGAGTTTATGTCCATCTCTAAATTTACGTGTCACATAAATATTTTATTACTAGAGTAATGCCTCGTTTCCACCAAACGGCACGTTACAGAACAGTTCAGTACAGAACACAATTTTTGCCGTTTCCAATGTACCACACAACTTTTTTGGACCCTTGTGGTACTAAAGGGTGGTGCTAGACAGAACGTTGATTGGTTGACCAAGTAGTCATGTCACAGTAGCGTGTGCTACAAAGGGAATGACAACAAAAGAGGTGCCATTTTTAGTTGAAACAAAATTCAGTTTCTTCTTGTGACGAATAGCCACATGCCGAGAAGCAAAAACAATATCTGCTGTATGTCCTCCATTATCTGCCGATCCAGAGACCGTTGACGTCACTTCTGCCGATCACTTCTGCCGATCACTTCTGCCGATCCAGAGACCGTTCACGTCACTTCTGCCGATCCAGAGACCGTTCACGTCACTTCTGCCGATCCAGAGACCGTTCACGTCACTTCTGCCGATCCAGAGACCGTTCACGTCACTTCTGCCGACCCAGAGACCGTTGGCGTCACTTCTGCCGATCCAGAGACCGTTGGCGTCACTTCTGCCGACCCAGAGACCGTTGGCGTCACTTCTGCCGACCCAGAGACTGTTCCCGTCACTTCTGCCGATCCAGAGACCATTGGAGTCACTTCTGCCGATCCAGAGACCGTTGGAGTCACTTCTGCCGATCCAGAGACCGTTGGAGTCACTTCTGCCGATCCAGAGACTGTTGGCGTCACTTTTGCCGATCCAGAGACCGTTGGCGTCACTTCTGCCGACCCAGAGACCGTTGGCGTCACTTCTGCCGACCCAGAGACTGTTCCCGTCACTTCTGCCGATCCAGAGACCATTGGAGTCACTTCTGCCGATCCAGAGACCGTTGGCGTCACTTCTGCCGATCCAGAGACCGTTGGCGTCACTTCTGCCGACCCAGAGACCGTTGGCGTCACTTCTGCCGACCCAGAGACTGTTCCCGTCACTTCTGCCGATCCAGAGACCATTGGAGTCACTTCTGCCGATCCAGAGACCGTTGGAGTCACTTCTGCCGATCCAGAGACCGTTGGAGTCACTTCTGCCGATCCAGAGACTGTTGGCGTCACTTTTGCCGATCCAGAGACTGTTGGCGTCACTTTTGCCGATCCAGAGACCGTTGGCGTCACTTTTGCCGATCCAGAGACTGTTGGCGTCACTTTTGCCGATCCAGAGACTGTTGGCGTCACTTCTGCCGATCCAGAGACCGTTGGAGTCACTTCTGCCGATCCAGAGACTGTTGGCGTCACTTTTGCCGATCCAGAGACTGTTGGCGTCACTTTTGCCGATCCAGAGACTGTTGGCGTCACTTCTGCCGATCCAGAGACCATTCACGTCACTTCTGCCGACCCAGAGACTGTTCCCGTCACTTCTGCCGATCCAGAGACCATTGGAGTCACTTCTGCCGATCCAGAGACCGTTGGAGTCACTTCTGCCGATCCAGAGACCGTTGGAGTCACTTCTGCCGATCCAGAGACTGTTGGCGTCACTTTTGCCGATCCAGAGACTGTTGGCGTCACTTTTGCCGATCCAGAGACCGTTGGCGTCACTTCTGCCGATCCAGAGACTGTTGGCGTCACTTTTGCCGATCCAGAGACTGTTGGCGTCACTTTTGCCGATCCTGAGACCGTTGGCGTCACTTCTGCCGATCCAGAGACCGTTGGCGTCACTTTTGCCGATCCAGAGACTGTTGGCGTCACTTTTGCCGATCCAGAGACCGTTCCCGTCACTTCTGCCGATCCAGAGACTGTTGGCGTCACTTTTGCCGATCCAGAGACTGTTGGCGTCACTTTTGCCGATCCAGAGACCGTTGGAGTCACTTCTGCCGATCCAGAGACTGTTGGCGTCACTTTTGCCGATCCAGAGACTGTTGGCGTCACTTTTGCCGATCCAGAGACCGTTGGCGTCACTTCTGCCGATCCAGAGACTGTTGGCGTCACTTTTGCCGATCCAGAGACTGTTGGCGTCACTTTTGCCGATCCAGAGACCGTTGGAGTCACTTCTGCCGATCCAGAGACTGTTGGCGTCACTTTTGCCGATCCAGAGACTGTTGGCGTCACTTTTGCCGATCCAGAGACCGTTGGCGTCACTTCTGCCGATCCAGAGACCGTTGGCGTCACTTTTGCCGATCCAGAGACCGTTGGCGTCACTTCTGCCGATCCAGAGACTGTTGGCGTCACTTCTGCCGATCCAGAGACTGTTGGCGTCACTTTTGCCGATCAAGAGACCGTTCCCGTCACTTTTGCCGATCCAGAGACCGTTGGAGTCACTTCTGCCGATCCAGAGACCGTTGGCGTCACTTCTGCCGATCCAGAGACTGTTGGCGTCACTTTTGCCGATCCAGAGACTGTTGGCGTCACTTTTGCCGATCCAGAGACCGTTCCCGTCACTTTTGCCGATCCAGAGACCGTTGGAGTCTCTTCTGCCGATCCAGAGACTGTTGGCGTCACTTTTGCCGATCCAGAGACCGTTCCCGTCACTTTTGCCGATCCAGAGACCGTTGGCGTCACTTCTGCCGATCCAGAGACTGTTGGCGTCACTTTTGCCGATCCAGAGACCGTTCCCGTCACTTCTGCCGATCCAGAGACCGTTGGCGTCACTTTTGCCGATCCAGAGACTGTTGGCGTCACTTCTGCCGACCCAGAGACTGTTAGTCTAGTGTCTGCATTTCCTGAACCGGTGTCTGCTGTTCCTCCGCCCTGGCTGCCCGACGGACTGTCTGTTTCGCCCTGGCCGCCTGATGGGTTGTGTCACACTGTCTGGTTGTGTTTCCCTGGGTTGTCACTAGAGGTCCCCATCCCCATCACCCTTGTTGGACTCATTATTTATTATCACACTCAGCTGTTCCCACTCACCCTTTAGTGTCTGTCTATTTATACCCTGTCTGTTTCATCACTTGCTCTGGAATCCTTGTTTTGTGTCACCCGCTTCCCAGAGTCTGTCTTGATTTCGTTAAGTGTTTATTTGTTGTTTTCCAACTGCTTACATGGACTTTGATCTTTTGCTGTTCCTGGATTTATGATACGGATTACCCAATAAACTGCAAGTGGACTATCACCTTCTTGTTTGCATATCGTGATATACTGCTGCTGCTCTGTTTTTCTTTTGACTAAATCCTGGACATGTTTCATATAAAGAGTGTGATTTATTCACGTTTCTTACTTATTTGAAGCATTATTCTTGTGATCTTTCTATAGAGATGGCAGAGGTAACTTCTGATCCTACAGGTAAGCGGACTCAACTAATGTAGGCCTATATGATGTTGTTGCCAAATAGATTTTAATCCATGATTATCTGAGATGTTGTAGGTTTTTTTCTTAATTTCTATCATTTGTAGGAAAATGGTTCTGTCGTCATAGTCATCCAACCTTCTTACAATTATGTGTTCTTGGTCTTAACGTTTTTTCATGCCAAAATGACTAGAAATAAAGAGAAACAAATCGCAGACGAATGATCAATTTACGGCAAAAACACAAACAGCATTTTACCATTGTATTGAAGGAAAAGAAATTCACCAAGTTCATGTTTACAAGAGATGACGCAGTGAACAGTGAACACACCTTCAGCTGTTAGGAAAAACAAGCAGAACAAGTTTATCAGTCTAATGTTGCCAATGACAAATAAAACACAGCCATAATATTTGCCTAAAGTATAGTTTAATTACTTATTTTGTATTAATTATTAGTTAATTTAAAAATCTGGCATAATTGTATCATTGTACTCTGGATTTTTTTTTAAAAAAGACTGTGTAATTTATTAAAAGTGCAAATTGAGAATAAACAGACTAATACAATTTTTTCAAAAGAGAAAATTCTTGCTAAATGATTTTATTTATTTTCAAATTACGTTGTAAAAATACTATATATATACACTGACCTACATACAATTTTTAGCTTATGTCTAAAGAAAATATATTGGTATGGCCATACCAGTAATAAATATAAATATTTTTATCAAAATCAAAATATAAGATTTGAACTAAACCAGAATTATATAATATTATGTAAGAAAAACTTATATATTTGGCTGTAACAAATCTAACGAATATTTTTTAAGTTGGCCCAATGTATTTTTTTTTTACTCTCTATAGGTCAGAAAAAAAACTATGGAGTTTATGTCCATAACTAAATTTACATGTCACATAATTATTTTATTACTAGAGTAATGCCTCATTTCAACCAAACGGCACGTTACAGAACAGTTCAGTACAGAAAACAATTTTTGCCGTTTCCAATGTACCACACAACTTTTTTGGACCCTTGTGGTACTAAAGGGTGGTGCTAGTCAGAACGTTGATTGGTTGACCAAGTAGTCATGTCACAGTAGCGTGTGCTACAAAGGGAATGACAACACAAGAGGTGCCATTTTTAGTTGAAACAAAATTCAGTTTCTTCTTGTGACGAATAGCCACATGCCGAGAAGCAAAAACAATATCTGCTGTATGTCCTCCATTATTGTTTACTGTGTTGTTTTATTCTTCATGAAAGAATGACATTGATCGCTACTTTACAGCGTACCACTTCTATTATTTTGTGTTAAGGGTGGTATTGGGTTTGTCCAGTAGGACGTGGTGGCGCACTGTGTTTGTGGGCAGAGAAGAACGTGCAGTGTGGTTGTGCTTGTGTGTGTATTGCTGGCTACAGAGATGTGTCCTAATAAAAAGAGACTATCCAGAAGTTTTGATTAACCCTCGGCTATCGTGCCGACGCGACGAGCTCACTTTTTTTCTTATAAGTGCAAAAGAGACTCAAATTAATCAGATTACGCTGATCTTACATATAAGTGTTATGCATCATTCGATCCTGTTAAGTGTCTATTTTTGTGTATAATGACAATAAAAACAAAGTGTTGTGCTTTTTGTAAAATAAAGAAGTTAATAAAGTTTTGCCTTCTCTCTGTCAGTGAAGTTCATTTTGAAACATGTCCGAAAAAATACTTGTCACAGAGACACAAAAAGTTTCTCTTTATGAAGCTGAAATGTGTTTAAAGTTTTTATTCATCTCTATTATTTTTTTATTCACAATTATTATATTTTGATCCTTTTTTGATAATTTTGCATAATTTTTTTCAGTTTGTACAATATATTTTTACATGTGTTTTTTTCATTTTTAAATCATGCTTATTATTTATTGATCTGTGGCCAGAATACATTTAGTAGTATTTTGATCCCATAGACCAGGGGTTCTCAACCCCAGTCCTCATGGCCCACTGCTCTGCATATTGTGTATGTCTCCCTTATTTAACACACCTGATTCAGATCCTCAGCTCGTTAGAATCAGGTGTGTTAAATAAGGGAGACATACACAATATGCAGAGCAGTGGGTCGTGAGGACTGGAGTTGGACTGGAGCCATAGACCATGCCCACTGAGAGCGCACACTATTCCCAGCCAACACAGTCATGTGGGGCCCACATTGGATTGACCTGGGCTGTCTAACTGGGACCCAGCCAGTTTTGTCCAAGGTTTCCATGGTGGCCCCAGATGGGTTTGCCCAGATGAAATGAACACTGCTCAGTGTGCACACTACAGGCTGTTAAATGTAACACTGAATCAGTGTTGGAGTTAATGAAATAATTAACTGATTGAATAATGATTGAGCATTATTGATGAACACCTGATTTTAATAAGCAGAATCACTGAAGACAAGAGAAACACAAGAACTACTTGCAGCCTCAGCCTTAAATGAAATCAACTGAAGATACAGTACATTAAATCTCATAAGATCTGATTACACAACTCCACAAACAGCATTACCAGCTTCACTTATTACTAACCAGATTTTCTTTATTTCTGGTAGACGTCTACAAAAGTTCTTATTGAAAATTAACTGAGGTTAAGATGTTGATTATTTATTGAAAATAATAGTTTGGTTTGATGCCACCATTATAGTGATCAGTGTTTGCTTTAGTTGGGCTCTTGACTTCTCTCTGCTCAGTTGGATGTGATTGTTATGTTGAGAACAGCAAAAGAAAATGCAATCAGATGCTATAAACTGATTGATGAGTAGAATATAATCAAGTAGTGGCTTTCAGATGGACGATATGATGCAGATATGAGATATGAAATTAACACTCAAGAGTGGTAAAGTTAATGAGATGATTAAGTGATTAATTGAGTGACGATTGAGCATTATTGAAGACACCTAAAGCAGAATCACTGAAGGAGAAAATCACAAATTGTAAGCCACCGTTATGGTGATCAGTGTTTGCTTTAGTTGGGCTCTTGACCCTTATATTATTAACTTTAGATTTTGTTTGACTGTTGTATCGGAGTTATAACTGCCAGATGAACAAAGAAAACATATGATCTAATGGTTTTGGTTATATTATGACAATCATCATTTTAACTTTATGTTTGTGGTCTCTGCTGTTGGTTACAGTATAACTGTGATTCTGCATAAATATCCAGAGTTTGAGATATAATATAATGGATTTCTTAAAAGTTGTTTAAAAAAAATCTGTCTTTTAGGCACACACAGACCTCAACATTCAGTCAATGCTTCTCTACAACGGTGACGAGCAGAATATTCAATTAGGAAAAGTAAATTACATAGGCAATTCAGATCATAATTTATTCATACCGCAATGCATGATGGGAGCCATTAATAAGTTGTGATTGGCAGCAGCCACTGCAACAAGGATTATTATTGCCACCACTGTTGAGATTCACAGGCTGATTATTGATGTCTGTGTTTCTTAATAAATTCAGTTGAAAGTGATTTGATCAGAACAATTTATATTAAACGTTTTGGATTATAAGAAATTATTGATAATCATACACTGCATTATCTCAGAGCTGTTCCTAACAAATTTAACCAAATCATCTGAATAAGTTTCAGTTTTCAGATCACAGCATGATTATGCCACAACATAACTAACACTATCAGATCATACTTTTCTATGTTCATTTGACTGTTATAAATCAATAACAGCAGACAAACAAAATTTAAAGTGGAAGTATAAGTGTCAAGAGCCCAACTAAAGCAAACACTGATCACTATCACGGTGACTTACAATTTGTGATTTTGTCCTTCAGTGATTCTGCTTGTTATCATCAGATGTCTTCAATAATGCTCAATCATCACTCAGTTATTCACTTAATTATCTCATTAACTTTACCACTCATATCTGCATCATATCTTCCATCTGAAAAGCAGGTGAAGGTGATTTACTACTAATCAAGGAACCGGCTTTACTGATGAGATGCGCATAACAATATTGTTCAATATATCGCCCAGCCCTACACAAAATGTGTAAATGGTGTTTTAAAAATCATTTGAAAAAAATGTGCTGGTTCTCTTGCTGTTGAATCACAACAATAAAACAAAATGAATAACATATTTGGAATAACATCCTGGTGAGTTAAGCCACTACTTGATTATATTCTACTCACCAATCAGTTTATAGCATCTGATTGCATTTTCTTTTGCTGTTCTCAACATAACAATCAGATCCAACTGAGCAGAGAGAAGCTAATGTTAAAAAGTCAAGAGCCCAACTAAAGCAAACACTGATCACTATAATGGTGGCATCAAACCAAACTATTATTTTCAATAAATAATCAACATCTTAAAGGGATACTCCACCAGGTTTTCATATTAAACTATGTTATTCCCTTAGCTAAGACGAGCTGATGCATACCTCTCTTGTCTCAGTGTGTGCACTCTATCGCTCTGTAACTTGGCGCAATAATACCTTCACTCGTGAAAAGTCCTCTTACCAACTCCCGCTTCCTCGCTCTCCCCCTCCCTCTTATTTCCGTCAATGCAGCCAACGTGACATGCGACAAAGCGAGAGCCGGTAGCTGAGTATCCCTTTAATCTCAGTTAATTTTCAATAAGAACTTTTGTAGACGTCTACCAGAAATAAAGAAAATCTGGTTAGTAATAAGTGAAGCTGGTAATGCTGTTTGTGGAGTTGTGTAATCAGATCTTATGAGATTTAATGTACTGTATCTGCAGTTGATTTCATTTAAGGCTGAGGCTGCAAGTAGTTCTTGTGTTTCTCTTGTCTTCAGTGATTCTGCTTATTAAAATCAGGTGTTCATCAATAATGCACAATCATTATTCAATCAGTTAATTATTTCATTAACTCCAACACTGATTCAGTGTTACATTTAACAGCCTGTCGTGTGCACACTGAGCAGTGTTCATTTCATCTGGGCAAACCCATCTGGGGCCACCATGGAAACCTTGGACAAAACTGGCTGGGTCCCAGTTAGACAGCCCAGGTCAAACCAATGTGGGCCCCACATGACTGTGTTGGCTGGGTTCAAATGCTAATGTTGAGGCAAGCCATGAAAACGCCCACATCAGCATCAGCCTTTCGAAAACCGCAACATTTAGTGTCCGGGAAAGTGGATACATTTCCAAGGACTGTTTTTTAAAAAGAAGGACAATCTCTGTAAAACTGGGACAAGTGGCAACCCTAGTTTCAAGTGATGCAAATATACCACAAATCTATAGATGGATAGTTTCTTAATATGGAAAGTGGATTGTACCATGTGTAGGCCATGTCAGATATACGTTCCATTTTAAACATAAGCAACATGTTTTTCTACCTTAAAAGGAAGTTGTATGTCCCTCAGTGTACATTAGAGGTCTTCTGGGGTCCTAAAAACTGTACCCGACCCGAATTGACCAGAATCACTTACCCGAACCCGACGTGCATAAATTATTTTAAAAAGAAAAAGAAAAACCTGACCCGAGACAGACCCGATAAAATTAGACCCGAGTCCGACCCGACGCCATTTCCTTAAGAACCCGACTGGACCCGAACGTAAACGGCATTTACAGCCCTGCGTTTCTCAAAAATACGCTTGACATAGACGCGCAAGTGCACGCTGAGTGCTAAAATGTCAATCACACATCACTGTAACCCTTTACATCCTATAACATTTGGCATAATGTTATTTACCGGACCACGATGATTAGAACCACCTCAGGGTAAAATTTACCGATGGCTGTTTTTAAAATAGCCTACAGATTTTCATTCAAATTCTACCAGTCATTGACTTTTACTAAAATTGTGTTATTTAGCCTACAAACCCGTTGTTGCAAAGTTGTTTAGATAAAATGCGATTAAAGAGGGCATTAGAACCACAATAGCAGTCAAATTGCACATTCTGAATCAAATCCTAATGTTAACGTTATTGCATCAACGCATTTAACTGCACGTCTTTTTTCCTTCCTTATCAACAATGATCACAAATCATTGTTGATAAGGATGACCCTGGATGTTTCTGTTCTACATATTCGTTTTCCGTCACCTTTTTCGCAATATCTGTTTTATCGTCTCCGTGCTTGTCTGACAGTGTCGCGTATTTTTAAAATGGATTGACAGGCCTGGCTAAACGACAATTCAAATACTTGCATGTAGTCAAACGTCCATCCACATGATGGCGCACTAGTTCTTCTTGGCAAACGGAGGGGTTGGTTTTTGTGGAGCGAGCAACTGAGTAAATAAATGCAGAGGATACCGTGCTTATGCTTATAACCCATTGCACGTAAAAGCGTGGATTCGCTCTCTCACTTAAAAAAAAGTCAGAACGGTCATAGAGTTGTTTGAAATGCTGCAATTTTGTTAAATGCCCAACATTGTTTAAAATAATTCGGGTCTTCTCGGGTCCATTTGGAAAAGGCATATTTATTTTAAGTTACCCGAGACCCAAGGCCACTAATACTGAACCTGACCCGTGTCCGAGACACTCGTAGGAGTTTTAGACTCAAACCCGCTCGGGTCTCGGGTCGGACCTCGGGTTTTCGGATCCAAGTGGACCCGTGAAGACCTCTAGTGTACATAAGCTGAATCATTACTCTACCAGCCCAGAGAAACAGAGGCATGATGGGGAGCGGGGACAGAAAAATGGGCAACAGAGAAATCTGGAATGAAGACCACGTTGCCTGTAACCTGGCAAAGTAACTGGTGTAGCTGTTGTGAGTTAACCATAATGGGGAAAAGCATGATTTTCAAATCTACACTACAGTTTTTCCTTGGTATCTACGATACAACATATGGTTACAGGGATAAAATAACTTTGGAGAAGCTGTTTCCTGAGTGCAATTTTTTTTAAAAGCAGGATGCCAACGTTACCACATTACAACGTTAGCTGGGATTGTGGGATCCGTGGCACCATCTGATAATAAGCCACAATCTTGGGAGGAGTATTGTGAAATACCGAACCATTTTTTCATGGCAAATCACGTTGAAGAACCAGAGAAAAGGGTACTGTACCAAGTAAGGGTACTGTTGGCGGTGGATATGGAAGCTGGAGAAGGGTTTACCATCCCGAATCGTACTGTCCAGTCCTGTACCGGGTTCAGGGTTCAGGCTAAACCCAGCATTTGTAGACAAATTTTACTGTGTCTGACCTGATATTACTTTACTGTATCTGACCTCTTATTACATATTTTTATTTCAGAGATGTCGGCGATCAGCTCCAGTCCAGATGATCCAGTGATCCGGGTTCTTCTGATGGGCAGGAAGGGTTCTGGGAAAAGCTCATCTGGAAACACTATACTGGGAGAAAAGAGGTTTAACATCCACAGACGTAAGAAACAGCATGAGTCTGAAGTGTGTGAGGAAGTAAATCAGACCGGAGAGAAGCAGGTGTGTGTGATTGATTGCCCAGATCTACTGGATCCAGATCTGTATAAAGAGAAGCTGGAGAAGATGAAGGATCAGCTGATCTCTCGATGTTCATCAGGTCTCAGTGCAGTTCTGCTCACCGTTCCTCTAGAGGAACCTGAAAACGAGGAGGAGATCCTGGATTATATCAAGCGTTTCTTAGGTCCTGAAATTCAGAAGTACATCATGATTCTGTTTACACATGAAGATGAGCTGGAGGATCTGGATCAGACCATTGAGGAACATCTACAAGATCATGAGGATCTCCAGCGACTGGTGACTGAATGTGGAGGAAAGTTTCACTGTTTCAATAACAAGTGTAAACATGGTGATCAAGTCCCAGAAGTACTGCAGAAGATTGAAGGAATGATGACGGAGAACGGTGGGAAATTTACCATGGACCAAATGAGGAGGGCAAACAGCAAGGACACTCTTGATATCGACTGTAAGATGATTTGTTATTGTAAATTCATTCAGTACATGCATTTTATTCATTTAATGTGTAAAGCCCTATTCGCACGGGATTAGTATTTTCTGGTGACCTGTAGTAATCTGTAATAATTGCGGAGTTTGTCTGAAATCTTAATCCCGTGCGAATCAGCCATGTCTGTAATTTGTAAAGTAAAAATTCCCCCGCAAATTACCTACTATATTTCGCCAAACACCGAGGTCCTGTGATAATATTAGTCCCGTGGGAAACGACATCTCTGTGATTTGGCCGGATCGTATATCATTTTTTCAAGGTTTTTGTTTTATCTGCGCCTTTTTATCCTTCTTTCGCAAAGAATAGAGGCTGAGTTGGTGTGTTTTGATAGTATTTTGGGTGTGGGGTCATATTTTCCACGCGTTATTAAATTCGCCCGCGAACTTGCGCTCGTGTCCATATTATGCCCGCTCTGTCACACGGCCAGTTCAACCTCGTATAAATCAGGTTATGTGTGTAAGTAACGTGCTCACTCTAAACAGACGCACACGAACAGACACACTGTACCCGGCGCTGCTCGCGCGTCACAGATGTTCATAAAGCGCTTATATGTCTCCTTCTTAGAGCATTGTCAAATGCATTATATTAACAATACTGAGATTTAATTATGCAGTTTGATGTTTCTGTTGTAGTTTCAGGAGAAGATCCAGATGAGCATCAGATTCCTGAGAGGAAAGACCAGATTCGGCTGGTTCTGCTGGGAAAAACTGGATCTGGGAAAAGTGCCACCGGAAACACCATCATCGGCAGAAACCTGTTTAAATCTTCAGCCATTTCAAACTCTGTGACGAAACAGTGTCAGGCAGAAACTACAGTGAGGATGGGTAAAGAGATCTCAGTGATCGACACTCCTGGACTTTATGATAATAAACTCAGCGAAGATGAGATTAAAACTGAAATAGTGAAATGCATTACTTACGCCTCTCCTGGACCACATGCTTTTATTATCGTGATTAAACTGGGTCGATTCACTGAGGAGGACAAAAACACAATACAGCAGCTCAAAGAAGTGTTCGGAGAAGAGATAATAAAATACACCATGATCATCTTCACTCACAAAGATCAGTTGGAGAAGGAGAACAAAACCATTGAAGAGTTTCTACAAGAAAGTGATCCAGATATTCAAAACCTCATACACTGTTGTGGAAACCGGTTCTTCTGTTTAGATAATGAGACCTCCAGTTTCCCTCAGTTCAGAGATCTGATTGGAAAAATAGAGAAGATGTTGGCAGAAAATGGAGGGAAGCACTTCACCAATGACACCAAACACATTAAGGAGATTCTGAATAAGAAAATGGTAGAGAAAGTGGAGCATTTAGGTTTAGCGGACGAGTCTCTATGTGAAGATTTGATCATGTCAGATCTAATCAGACTCATGAGGGAGGTAGGGGATGATTTAGAAAGCGCCAAAAAGAAACTTGAGAGAATAGGAATCAGTCATACAGATGCAGTGATTCGTGCACTCAAAGCCACAGGGAAACTGTCAAAACAGGACATGTGTGGAATTCAGTGAGAAACGATGACTAGACAAACATAAATCATCTTGTTCATAAGCTAACGTTTAAAGATTATCCATTGGCATTGATAGCTAATAAGAAAGTCTATATGTCTAATGTACTGAATATATACATAACATAAATATATGTACATTGTAATTATAAGATCAAACACAATTTAGAGTGATGGCACTTGAGAATTTGCTGTACATATTTCATAATAATATTGTAATTATAAAAATAAAATTCATTTAAATGAGTTAAAGCATCAATTTAACTCAATCCTCTTGCGGATAATTGTTAGTTAACAAAAGCACACATGCATGACTTTACAAACTTGACAAAATATCAATGCATTAACAACCACACTGTCACAGCCTTCAACAGACATAACATGAACGTTTCTGCGCTCATTCTGGACTGAAACACACACACACACTGTAATATAAAGCAATAGACAGTATAACATCAGTGTTCCTCTGCTCATCCTGGACTGAAGCACAGGATCTACGGGACATCTGTATTTCATATTTTCCTAACGTCTTGTACCTTAACGTGGTATCACGTGGATGAATAATCATATGCAAATGATATGCAGATGAGGATATGCATATTTAAACTAGGCGTTGTAATCTCCATGTATGGTTATTTCGGGGAGGAGACGCACGTGCGCACAATCTTCCGCTGACTGGGATTTATAAAGTGAATTCTGCACAAGTTCTGGCGTACGAACGGTTTTATAAATCTGAATATTTTTTGGCGTAAGCCATTTTTGGCTTTCGGGCGCACGCACACTTTTAGTAAGGATCCTTCGCACAGTTTTATAAATGAGACCCCTGACCACTAAAAACAAGAGTCTTCTCTGCTATCTGTGAGGAGATGAACATCAAGCTGTGCTGTTTCACAGCGAAGCAAGGTGGCTGTCACGAGGAAAAGTCTTGTCCCAAGTTTTTGAGCTCAGAGAGCAGATAGGAATGCTTGATGACCTCGCAGAAAAAAATTAGTGATGAGATCTTCCTGGCAAAACTGGCCTACATGAGTGACATATTTGGAAAGGTAAATGAACTGAATTCTACAGCTTCATGGGAAAGATAAACACCTGCCTCAAGTCACAGACAAGATAAGGCGACTTGATGAAGGAAATATTGATTCATTCGAGAACCTACATGAATTTGTTGCCACTACTGACTATGATGCCACCTCAGTGATTCCACATATTAAGGAGCATATTTCATTATTGATGGGATTCTTTAAAAAGTACTTCCATGAAAACAGTTCCCAATATGACTGGGTGAGAGATCCTTTCAATGCACCAGCTCCAACTGGCTTCAGCTCTGCAGAGGAGGACCAGTTCATTGACTTGACGTCTGACTCCACATTGAGCCTGAGGTTCACATCACAGACACTGAGTGAATTCTGGCTGAGTGTAGAGAGGCAGTATCCACTCTTAGGGCAGAGGGCCAAATTCCTTTTGCAACTTCTTATCTTTGTGAGGCTGGTTTCTCTGCTGTTGCTGCACTGAAGACCAAGTACAGATCCCAACTAACCATTGAGCAGGAGCTGAGAGCAGCAGTATCATGCTTCAAACCCCGCTTCGAAGACCTGCAAAACGTGCTCATAGTAGCCATTAATCCTGACTTCCTCATTTTGAAATTGAAAAAATAATCAGCACAAATTGATTTATTCATTTTCGTTTTATATATCAAAGTGTTTTACATATTGTGCTCCTGAGTTAATGTTGCTGATCAATTTGAATTTATTATTATTTATTGATTATATTTAATTTTATTTTTCAGTATCAAATGGTCAAAAAAATGTTTACACTTTAAATAGGGATTGATTTCAGGGATATTGATGCACTTTAAGTCTTTTCTGTTACAGACTAAAAAGCAATGTTAATAAAGTTATTTTTTGTTGTTGATCTATATTTCTTTTTTCTTTTCTTTAATGTTAATAAGGATACAATGTTATGCAGAGGTGTAGTTATAACAATTTTATAGACAAATGATACTTTTTATAGTCAAGGCGGAGAGTATGTGTGTGTGTGTGGGGGGGGGGGAATGTTTACTTCTTCCAAAGTAAAACAGAAAATAATTAATAGTATTTAATAATAATTGAGAACCACTACTCTAGCTCAAGCCTAGATGCTTCTAAAGTGCCATTCTTGTCACTGGTGAATAACTTCTTTATGAATTTGAATGTAATGACGTCATAGATATATATAAATTGACGAGTCACACATATGCAAAGGTAATCAGAGATATCTCTAATTCAGTTTCAACTTATCACAATTATATTTTAAGATATATGAATTGTACTTGCTCCTGGTCGAATCTGCTGTTGTGTGACATGAGCCTAAATTGACTCAGCTCCTCCCCCTCACTGAAGCTCCTCCTTGCTTAATGCTAGTGCTAACAACAGTTATGTTAGGCTGCTAAGAGAAAAGATAATGGATTAATTTAATTACTGCAGGGATCATTACACAACATCTGGATGCATTCATACTGTAAAAGGTCTCCGGCATGTATTAAGAGCTTTGATTTTAACAGAATCATGTTGCAAAAGTGACCATCTGAAGTGGTGTTCATTGAACGATTGAGAACCACAAACGCATCTGAATTTGTCATTAAATCACTTTTCGAAAAGTGATTTTAGCCCAGGAACAGACTGATCTCATGAAGTAGCGTGTGTATGACACGCCAATTCGTATTTTAGCGTGCTATCAAGACGCATAATCGCTTTTCAGTGTGTTTATGAACGCCGTTGACTTAACGTTATATAAATATATGACTTACCTCAACCCCGTCCCTAAACCTAACCGTCACTGCGGTTAATGGCATTTATGACTGTGTGGCATTTATGGCGTGTATGTTTACGCAAAAGTCATGATGTCATGTTGCCAGGAAAGATTGAATGTGTTGACTCATTTTGCCCAATTATGCTACATATTCAGTTTGGCACAAAATGTGAATGTAGCGGTAACGTTATGCATTCTCACCGTTTTTATTTATGTAACCATCTTTTGTCATACGATATCCTGTCATTTCGTTCTTAATCTTTAATAAATATAAATGACCATTCTGATTTCACACATTTGATCCATGGTACTGATTGGACACACATCAACATCATAAAAACCATAGACATTTACAGCAGGATAAAACGTTAAAATAGCCTAAATTATAAAGTTATGAAACTTTACTTTGCCCTCAGCCAAAACGATTTGCGCCCCCTAGTGAGAGAGAAAACACTTCTCTATTATGCGATTCCAGACTCTGTCTACGAAGCAAAGTGAAGTAGTAGAGTCTGGTATTACGCCCCATGGTGTGAATGAACTGCAAACTAACTAGAACAAAATCTTTGAAATGTATGTATGATACTGGATATGAAATTGTTAATAATGTAGACAGACACCAATCCTGTTCAATGTCAGTCGTGTGGGTGAAAAATAATTAGGCATTTAAAAGCTCTATTGAGAAAATGAAAACATGGAAATCTCAAAAAAACAATCATATCAGGCTACTTCATGACTTTCAGAACTAAAATTATAACAAATTCAAGCAGAATCAGCAGAAAATAAGAAAAAATGGACTACAACACTGAGATGTTGATAACACGAGTAAAGAGTTTAATCAATCGAAAACAAATACAAACATTAAGTGAACGTCAATGAGACAGATCTCTCTCTTCTCTTTCTTATAAGAGCCAAAGTTATGCCAAAGCCAAACTTAAACACACATAAGTTTATCTTGGATTTGCATGGAAGAGTAGAAGAGGAAGAGAAACTAGACGTTCTAATGAAAAACAATGAAGAATGAGTATATGTATATCAGATTCACATCTCTTAAAAGTGTTATGGCCTTCTTCTCCAGTGTGAATTTTCTGGAGGTCTTCAGTTCATCTTCTGTAGTGAAACACAAAGCCGTGTCTTCCGTAATATTAAGGATGAATATTCTCCTTTGATTGAATCTTCTGTTCTTTCTTCAGGACTGATGCCCAATTTACCGCACTGATCACAGTTAAACGGTCTTTCTTCAGAATAAGATGAGATTTCAGAGAGAAACCCTGAGCCGCTTCTTCCCAGTGTGAACTCTCATGTGAATCTTCAGCCTTGATTTACTTAAGAAACGTTTTTTACACTGAGGGCAATTTATTGGCTTCTGTTTTTGTCCACGTCCATCAGGTCTAAAAAAAAAAAACATTAAATAAAGTGAGTTTCATTGGACTATTTTATGCAACTGCCTTGCTAATCGTGTCTTACTCATGTAGTTAAAGTTGAGCTGGGCGGTTTCGAAACTGCTTCACGAAGCTCAGAAACCTTTATGAATCTTTTGTTTCAAATCAGTGGTTAAGAGTGTGAATCAAACTGCGAAAGTCACGTGATTTCCAACATGACATCATGACTTTTGCGTAAACATACACGCCAATTTCGAGTCAAGTGGCGTGTTATCTCGACGCATTTTGAACTATCCGCGTGAATGCGTGTTTGTCTACGCCATTAACGTCCGAGTCATTCCACGTGTCTGTACACGCCGTCAAATGTCAGCGCAAAACAAAGCAAAATGTAGATCTACATCTGGGGAGCTATCTTTTTCTTTCCTAGGATGGTAAGGGAACAGTCATAAATGCCATTAACCCCAGTGACGGTTAGGTTTAGGGACAGGGTTGAGGCAAGTCATATATTTATATATACAGTAATAACATTAAGTCAACGGCGTTCTTAAACACGCTGAAAAGTGATTATGCGTGTTGATAGCACGCCAAAAATGGAAATACGAATTGGCGTGTCACACACACGCTACTTCAGTCTGTGATTTCAGTAAATCAGGCTTCGTTGCCACATAATCGTTTCAAAATGTCAATGATCTATGTGAACCCATCATGCGGTGAACCATTGAACAAGTATATATGGGTTTTGCCTGATCTCTGATCAGTTTTAAACATTTGTAGACATTTTAATGAGACATCTGCATTATTAAAAGTAATAATAGTAGTCAACTATTAACCCACATGTTATACAGATCTTTAATCTTTATAATATTGGATGATGTGTTGAGGGCATTTGATTGATTACTTCAATAAGACATTTGCAATGGTTTGTAAAAGTTGTTTTTATGTCTGTTTGGCATGAGTTTGTGTTGCATTTACATTGTTCTGACCAATGTGTGGCATTACGAACACTTCAAAACAGTGAATAATGATTTAAAAAGCACTTTCCTCAACTGATTTAAACCTTTGTAAAGGCTTGGTTTTTCCCACCACTACACAAAAAAATCTGGTTATTCTTTCTACTGTAGGATTGAAAATAATCCAAGACATTTGAACTGAACAAAGACATATACTTTACTGTGGTCCGCCCCTTCTTTCAACCACAAGGACCATTTGGAGTTCCCAAAGTCACAGAGGGGCTGATAGTGATCAAGGCCTGTAGGCCAAGATACTTCGGGGGTCTATGAATTGACACATCTTAGAACAATGGGAGATCTGATTGGTCAGTTTGAATATCTCACATTTGGGTTTTAGTCACATGGTCAGGGAGAGGATAAAAGAAGATTGAAACTGTTGCTCTGTCTCTTTTTTATGCTCTGGCTCTCTTTGATTCTCAGGGTCCCTCTTGTAGTTCTATCAAAACAGAAGCAAAACAGGCAAACAGATCTATCTGTGCGCCGCCAAACTGATCCCAAATCAGCTGAACCAACTGGGGATGGAGGAGTCATTCTTCAGGAAGAGGCTGAAACTGTGAGAGCTCTTCGGCTGCACAATTCAGGACAATTCTGCACAATTCAGGACCCCTGGAATGTAAATGGCTTGAAGCGACCTCAGAAGCTTCCAACTCCATAAGAAGAGGTGGCAGGCGAGTTGCGACATACGGCGGGACCGTAAAACTTGTCGGTTGATGTACGCTGCTGACGCGGTATGGTCTGATCGGACTGGTACGTCTTGGTTCTTGAGCAGTGCGGAGCAATTGACATGCCATTGGCGCTGGAAGTCCTATCCAGGAGCTTGCGGCAGCATGTCCATTGCACATGCCGCCCCAGCCCGTGGTGGAGCCGTCTGTTGAGACAACAACATGCCTGGAAACTCAACCTAAGGGCACTCGGGCCAATAGAAAAGTGAGATTCATGAAGGTCTGATGGCAGGTCGGAGTAACTGGCACTCGGAACGTGTCTTGTTGACATGCCCACCTCAGGACTCGATCGCGAAGCCAGAGCTGAAGTGGTCTCATATGAAGCTGTGGATACCCTCGGATTGTCGCAGGCAAGTCAGCAGTGACTTTTTGCAAACCTGCTCTTAAGAGTGAGCTAGGAACAGCCAGTAATCGAGTTGTTGCCGTAGCGCTCGGTCCGCTTCAGGGCAGCCAAGAACTGTTGGGCAGAGTTCTCGACAGCACCACCGAAAAGGCCACCCTGGGATATGGGGGAGTTGAGGAAGCGTGTTCACTCATTCACTCGCCCATATCAACCAGGTTAGGCCAGAGATGTCTGACCACGCATGTCGACATCACCTGACCCAGGTATTTCGTCGCTTGTAGAGCAAGGTCAGGTGGTGGCACGTGGCTCTTGTATGAGCCCTGAATCAGCCCTTACCCTTGCACGAGCATGCATTGAGGCAGCAGACAGCCCCGCAACTCTATAGGTGTTTGCCACCAGATCTCCTGAACCACCACCAATGTGCAGCTCCACCTGGATGATGCGACGGCAGCCATATTGCGCCAGAACGCTCACCACACACTAGCTTACTGGTGGAGAGGAGACAGTGATGAAGCCAATTGGTGTAGATGGGGATGATTAGGAGGCCATGATGGACAGAGGCCACTGGGCAAATTTGGCCAGGATGCCGGGGTTACAACGCTACTCTTTCGAAAGACATCCTGGGATTTTTTATGACCACAGAGAGTCAGGGCCTCGGTTTAACGTCTCATCCGAAGGACGGTGCTCTTTTGACAGTATAGTGTCCCCATCACTATACTGGGGCGTTAGGACCCACACAGACCACAGGATGAGCACCCCCTGCTGGCCTCACTAACACCTCTACCAGCAGCAACCTGGTTTTCTCAGAAGGTCTCCCATCCAGGAACTAACCAGGCTCAGCCCTGCTTAGCTTTAGTGGGCAACCAGTCTTGGGCTACAGGGTGATATGGCTGTATAAATATATGACCTACCCCAACCCTGTTCCTAAAGCCTGGAACACACCAAGAAGACGCCAACGAACTAGCGCTGATGAAAGCCAACTGTGTTGTCGCCTCTCGTCGAGGTAAAAAGCTGCACTTGAACACACCGAGAGAACTACAGGCGACCGTCATCTAGAATGTGCATTCTGCGCCTGCGTATAATGAGCCAACTGTCTATTTCTGCAGATATATTAGTCTATATTCGTCATTCAAAAAGGAAAACCAACGCTGCCGGCTGCAGATACACATAATGTAAACAAAGCAGCGCGTGCTTACCTTTTTGAATATCAATCCTGTTGAACACTTTCTTTATTCCACTCCACTCATGTTAATATTGAAATATTCGCCAAGGAACACTCAGGGAAGAAGACGTAACATAAGAACAGCCTTCTATCTTTACCGTTTTGACTTCTTTGCTTGCTGTTTTGCTTTTATTCTCTTTCACTAATTCCGAGTTCAGACTGCATGATTTTCAAAGTAGTCGGATCGCTGTTCTTTTCACACTGCATGACTATCTTGGCCAGTATTCGGTCACTGCTGTGTTCACACTGGACGATTGATCGGCGACAAAGGTTTCACACTGCATGACTTTACAATAGGAAAAAAATCGCTGACAGACTATCTAGCATGCTGCGTGCAAACAACGTTTCACAACAAACACACATGAGATGTGAAAAGGAAACAACGCGACACCACACGTGCAAGACCGGAGTTCTCACGTGAGACTTTTTTTTTTTTTTTCAACCCGGTTGTGGTACAGCTGGTGAAACGTCAAACAGACACGATCGAGTGCTCCTGCCAAATTTATTCTAATTTTTCTTCCATTTATTGTGTCCAAATAGACCGAGAAGAAGCATTTTTTCTGAAACAATGCCATATCATGTTGATATGTGATCTATAACTCCTCCCCGAACTCCCTGCTGCTCTGTATCTTGCTCTCTCACTGGCTGCCGGTGATCGCCGATGTAGTTTTCAGTCAAAACACTTTTCACACAGCAGGATTTTGAATTGCCGACAGGTCCAGATATTTAGCATGCCAAATATCTCACGGGCGTCGGCGAGTCGTCTGTGATTCTCTCAGTTCGCGTCTTTGCTCATTCACACTGCGTGATTGTCACTCGCGTGAACGAGCGCCGATTTGCCTGTGATTTCGGGCATTTGTCTGCGATTTCTCAAAACCTGTCGGCGAGCCAAAATCGTGGCTAAAATCATGCAGTCTGAACTCGGCATAAGATGAACTTTCTTTAGTTCAATCAGAGTTCTCTCTTTCCCCAATGGCCCAACGCCGATTCAACATGTTGAATCGGACGAAATAAAGCCGACGAGGACTATTTTTAGCCAACGGCACGGAACCATGCGTATCACACCAAGCCAACTTGGTTGGCCGACGCAAAAAAATTTCCCAGACGGCCGACCGTCGGCTTGGTGTGTTCCAGGCTTAAACCTACCCATCACTGGAGTGAATAACATTAATAGATCTACATTTTGCTTTGTTTCGCTCTGACATTTAATGGTGTGTACACGTGGAATCACTCACACATTTAATGGCGTAGACATATACGCAGATAGCTATTCTGATTTTTTATGAGCACCACCTACTGTCAGAGTTTGAATGTGCATTTACTGCCACTTTTTTTGCATTGATCTGAACAGAAAAATCTCAAGTGAATTTTGTGCCGAACATTCATGTTAGTGCGAAAACGTCCTGTCGCTCATCGTGGCTGTTAAGAAACTAACTTAGAAGTGACTTGGTTGACTCAGCACATAAAGATGAACTACTTACCGTGATCTCAGACTGCGTTTATGTGGTTTCTCCACTGCATGGATCTTCAGGTGTAGCTTCAGGTGACTTTTAAAATAAAACCTTTTCCCGCACTGATCACACGTGTGGCGCTTCTCTCTACTGTGGATCCTCTCATGTTTCTTCCGATTTGTGGACAGACTGAATCTCTTGTCGCATTGTAAACATTTGTATGGTTTTTCTCCAGAGTGGATCCTCTCATGTATTTTCAGATTTGTTGACAGACCAAATCTTTTGTCACAGTGTGAACACTTGTAAGGTTTTTCTCCAGTGTGGATTCTCTCGTGTATTTTCAAATTTGTTGACAGAGCAAATCTCTTGTCGCAGTGTGAACACTTGTATGGCTTCTCTCCAGTGTGGATCCTCTCATGTGTTTTCAGAAATGATGACCGACTGAATCTCTGGTCACAGTGTGAACACTTGTAAGGTTTTTCTCCAGTGTGGATCATCTCATGTGTTTTCAGATTTGCTGACCGATTGAATCTCTTGTCGCAGTGTGAACACTTGTAAGGTTTTTCTCCAGTGTGGATCATCTGATGCACTTTTAAACAAGTTGGTGTAGTAAAAGTCTTCTCACACTCAAAGCACATGTACTCTCTCACACCAGCGTGAGTTTTCTGATGTCTATGTAAATATTGCCGCAGTGAAAAACTCTTTCCACACACAGAACATGAATGCGGCTTCTCCTTCGTATGAACACTCAGGTGTATCTTCAGGGCTCCTGCACTAAGAAATGATTTGCCACACTGATCACATGTGAACGGCCTCTCTCCAGTATGAAGTCTATTGTGAAGTACAAGACTATGTTTGTGTGTGAAACTCTTTCCACACTGTTCACAAATAAACGGCTTCTCTCCTGTGTGGATCCTCATGTGTTCTTTAAGGTATGCTGATAGAATGAAACTCTTCCCACACTGATCACATGTGAACGGCTTCTCTCCGGTGTGGATCATCGTGTGCAACATAAGATTATTTTTTTGTGAGAAGCTCTTCCCGCAATGATCACATGTGAACGGCTTCTCTCCAGTGTGGCTTCTCATGTGCCTCTTAAGATTTCCTTTTCTTGCGAAACTATTTTTACACTGATCACATGCGTACGGCTTTTCTCCAGAATGAACTATCATGTGAGACTCAAGATTTTCTTTGTATGTGAAGTTCTTCCCGCACTGATCACATTTGAAGGGCCTTTCTCCAGTGTGGACCCTAACGTGACGCTCAAGACTAGCTTTGGTTGTGAAACTCTTTCCACACTGAGTGCAGGAGAAAGATTTGTCTCTTTTCTTTAAAAATGTATTTTTAGTCTTCAAGCGATTTTTTCCAGGTTTGACACGATGTTCCTCCTCCACTTCACTCAGTTCTTCACTCTCCTCCTTCACTTCCATCAGGTCTGAAATTAAAGAAAAAATAAAATTTCAATTTCTGTACATCAAAATAATGATGACAAGAAATATGAAGTGAAATATCAAAAGTGAGCAGTTATGTAAAAAATGATGTAAAATATTACGAACTTTTATAAAATAATTATATATCCCTGGAACTTTCCATGAATACGGTTAATTGATCTTCTGGTTATTGTTTTTTAAAACATTGTAGCCACAAATCCTATGTGTTTGTAGTGTTACTTCCCAGTAACAATCAGGAGTATCGCACTGCGAAGTATACCTAGATGATGTCGTAATAAGATATATGGAAAAACCAAGTTTTCTGTTGTTTGAAGTTTATGTTGGAGGTAGTTGTTTCATTTTCTTTTATAGATTAGACTCCCTTACTTCCAGGTAGCTTAACCTTTTTTTGCTTTTAACTAATAGCGCCCTATCTTTTCTTTTGTTTGGGCTATTTTTACTGTTATCAACCTTACTCTTAACTTCTGTAAAATAAACTTTACTCTACAATTAAAAATCCTAAAGACTTACCCTGTGAGTGTGTGTGCTGAGATTGCAGACAGAACCAAATCTCACTCTCATTTGTGCTTCAATTCGTGTGAATATGCTTTCTTTCCTTTTTAACATCCATCTTTCTCTCCCGCTGCGCCTGGACAAGAAGGGGACGTAACAGTAAGGAAAACGAATGAATATATTTGATCAACCACACAATTATCTAACATAATATTGGCATTCAATATATACAATCATGCCATAATTTGTATACCAACATTTAGACAGATAATACATTTATTTTACTTAACTTACGTTCAATAGGGCTGGGACAATACACCTATCTAACGATTCAATACTATCACAAAACTTGGGTGCTGATACAATATGCATTAATTTTTAATAGCAATTCTAGTAATATTGGTCAAGTATAGGGAAGCACCGTTTTAATATTTTTGGCTGATACCGATAATTCTTTACATTTGAAAGCCGATAATCGATATTGGCCGATAAATCTAAATCAAATTAATTTTATACACCTATGGACAACGTTCTTTACTAACAAATAGTGACACTTATAATAAGGTTTAATTTCATAGTTAGCATGAACCAACAATTAATGAACAAAACTTCTTAGTTAATGTAGCCTAAAGCTCAACATTTTATAAGAAATTAAGTTCTAAAGTTGTATCTGTTAACATGAAGATTTTAATAACTAACATTAATCAAGACTATGCTATCGGTTAGTTCATGTTAGTTATCGAATTAACAAATTAAATCTTATTAGGGCTGGGTAATAAAACGGTATCGCTTTAAAAAACTGCTACTGTTATTTCTCACTCTGACATGGATAAAACATCAATAACACAAAATTAATCCTTAAAGACACTCATCTTCATAAACCGATAATTACAGCAGCATAATATGACCAAATTAATCTAAATATAGCTAGTTTGATCTTATGATAACTACATTAATAACTATAAATAGTATTTGGATCATTTAAAAGAATAACAGAAACTGTAATTATCACAAAACTTTTAAAAATAAAGAGCACCACAAACAAAGCAGTGTTGTTCCAAGAGTAAAACGCTATTGATATTTTAGTATTGGTTTAATGTCTCACGTGTGTCTCATCTCATTATAAGTTCAATACGAATTTAACAGTGTAGCGTATATCAAACAACACAACAAGCAGTCTCTGTTCCAGTATAACACGATTCCCTAATTCCCCTCACAGATCTTAAACTTTTCTTTTGACTTGAAACAATCACACAAACGAACACACACTCGCTCAGGTCTGAATGAACTCCACATATTCTCCTCAGGCTCGCTGCTGCTGCACTAAATGTGTATTTCAGGACGAAAACGCCAGAAAAGACGCACAAGTATCGCTGTGATCGATGAAAACAACACTGAAATGAGTCTGTCGCTTAATCAAACTGTATAAAGTGTGTGTGATGGGAGTGTGTGTGTAAAGATGAGAAATACCGTGAGCTGCTGTCATCGCCTCAGAAAACTCGACGCTGAAACGTCAATGAGGGAAAAGCCGGCGCGAGCGAGCGGTGACGTCATCACAAGCCGCCAACGGTATCTGAGCATAGACGCGCCTATGGCAAGCCGGATTAGCATTAAATAACCCCTGTCCCCCACTGGGAGGAGACCCCGGGGTCTAAAAAAAAGGGGGGGTTACAATAACAGTGTTAAACTAAACCACTGACACTTCTCAATAGTGTTTGTGTTGATCTGAACAGACCTTGTGGCAAAGACAAATTATTTAGTTCCTAAGTAGTAAAATTCCACAACAATGTAAATGTTTGTCAAATACGGCTCTGTTTTCTTTTATCATCTCCCAATAAAACATTTTTCTCAAATCATGTCTCTGTGTAGTCTTTATAAAACATTTTCATCAAATCATGTGTCTGTGTCTTGTTCTTCTGGACTTCATTGCATGACCAGCTTTTTAACACTTTTGTAATTTCATGCCTGTAAATAAAAGACTATCTATAAAGTCTTATAAGCAGCTTACATATAAAAGCTATAAAACATAAAATAAAAGACTATTTATAAAGTCTTACATTGGGTATAGCTGAACAAACTGCATTTTTTTCACAACATAGCCCATCCGCCTCAAGGTTGTGGCTTCACAAATGCTTTGCTGCATACCTCGGTTGTAACGAGTGGTTATTTCAGTCAAATTTGCTCTTCTATCAGCTTGAATCAGTCGGCCCATTCTCCAACAAGGCATTTTCGCCCACAGGACTGCCATCGCATACTGGATGTTTTTCCCTTTTCACAGCATTCTTTGTAAACCCTAGAAATGGTTGTGTGTGAAAATCCCAGTAACTGAGCAGATTGTGAAATACACCAACAAGCATGCCACGCTCAAAATTGCTTAAATCCCCTTTCTTTCACATTCTGACATTCAGTTTGGAGTTCAGGAGATTGTCTTGACCAGGACCACACCCCTAAATGCATTGAAGCAACTGCCATGATTGGTTGATTAGATAATTGCATTCATGAGAAATTGAACGGGTGTTCCTAATAATCCTTTAGGTGAGTGTGCATATTATAACTAGTGTATGAAATGGCAAATGTAAATTACATAATTGAACTATTTTCATTTTGTAACAAACTTTGCCCAAATGATGGGAAAATTCAGAAATGCATCGCCATTTTACATATTACATCTCATATTGAAAATTGATGCCCATATGCTTTCATATTAAAGTGCTTCAAATGGCTGATGTGGAATAGGGGCTCATCCAACGAAATGATCGGTCATTCGTTTCTAAACACAAAATAAATTAGAATTTTATACTTTTTAAGCACAATTGTTTGTCTTGTGCTGGTCTGCATCGCACCAGGCATTACATTCATCACGTTGGAAAAACTGCATTGATTTAGACTTGAAGTCCATTTGTGTGGAGAAAAATTCTGAATTTTAATTGACTATTATTTATTATTGACATTAATTTACTTTCTACTTAAGAAAGATAGACATCTTGGATGGCATGGGGCGAGTAAATTATCAGGAAATTCTCATTTTGAGGTGGACTAATCCTTTAAGATATTTTAACTGTGCTTATTTCCGTCATTGGAATAAGTTATAAGTAGAGGGTGGTAATGGACAAGACATTTACAGTTTTTGACCATCTCGGTGACAACGTTTCTTCAGTCATTCAGCCTGAACCCCATGCAGGAAATCCAACGATAAACAATAACAAAATGGATTGTAATGGGACTCGTGATGGTGATTAAATGCGGTTCAAATGAGCCGTTGTCACACGGAGGTGGTAAAGTATCAAAGGATCACTTCTCCAGAGGTTTTTCTCCAGTGTGGATCCTCTCATGTCTTCTCAGAGATGATGCCTGACTGAATCTCTTGTCGCAGTGTGAACACTTGTAAGGTTTTTCTCCAGTGTGAATTCTCTGGTGCTGTTTTAAATTGGCCGATGTAATAAAAGTCTTCTCACACTCAAAGCACATGTAATTTCTCACACCAGTGTGAGTTTTCTGATGTCCGTGTAAAGTTTGCAGCAGTGAAAAACTCTTTCCACACACAGAACATGAATACGGCTTCTCTCCGGTGTGGATCATCATGTGAACATTAAGGGATGAAGATTGACTGAATCTCTTCCCGCACTGATCACATGTGAACGGCTTCTCTCCGGTGTGGATCATCATGTGAGCGTTAAGGTGTGGAGATTGAGTGAAACTCTTCCCACACTGATCACATGTGAACGGCTTCTCTCCGGTGTGGATCATCATGTGAGCATTAAGGTGTGGAGATTGACTGAAACTCTTTCCGCACTGATCACATGAGAACGGTTTCTCTCCGGTGTGGATCCTCGTGTGTTTTTTAAGGGATGATGATTGACTGAAACTCTTCCCACACTGATCACATGTGAACGGCTTCTCTCCGGTGTGAACTCTGATGTGACGTTGAAAATTTTGTTTGGTTGTGAAACTCTTTCCCTTTTTTGTCTTGGAACGACTTGACGGTTTTCCTCCAGGTTGGACATGATGTTCCTCCTTCACTTCTCTCAGTTCTTCTCTCTCCTCCTTCACTTCACTCAGTTCTTCTCTCTCCTCCTTCACTTCACTCAGTTCTTCTCTCTCCTCGCTCTCTTCCATCGGGTCTGAAAAAACAGAAAAACTCATTTACGCATGAGATTTTCAAAATGTTCTAAATCAAAATATGGAGTGAATGGAGATTAAAATGATCCCAGATGTAACTGCAATAAAAAAACAATCATTTTTGAATTTTTATAAATGAATTATACGTCCCTGAAACTTTTCAATCATTCTTGCACCACTCCTGTTTAACCTGTATATGCTCCCAATGAGCCAAATAATGAGAGAGAACCAAATCGCTTACCACAGCTATGCAGACGACACACAGCTCTACTTAGCCCTATCAACTAACGACTACAACCCCATTGACTCCCTGTGCCAATGCATTGATGAAGTCAACAGTTGGATTACTGTTACATACTGGACTGTGTATACTCTAATATTAAAAAGGGATACAGAGCCTTCCCCCTTGCACAACTGGGCCAGTCTGATCACCTGTCACTATCACTGATTCCAGCGTATCGCCCTGTTATTAAAAAGCAGAAACCTATCGTTAGAATAATTAAGAGGTGGCCTGAGGATGCATCTGCACAGCTACAAGACTGCTTTGAACGAACAAACTGGACCTTGTTTTCTAATCAGGATGTGAATGAGTATGCCTTTACTGTTCTTTGTTACATTAAAACCTGTGTTGAAAACATTACTATCAACACACGCATCAGAATTCACCCTAACAAGAAACCATGGATGACTGCGGAGGAGGTATATGCCCTTCTGAGGGAGCGTAACACAGCTTTTAAATCTGGGGATAGAGTATTATATAGCACAGTGCAGTTAAATCTGCACTCCCCCTCAACTTCGAGCAGCATCAGTATGCCCATAGGGAAACTGCTGCAGCAGGAATGACGTGCCAACATCGCCATATTTGCCGCCAGCAGACTTATTAAACACTTGTTCATTAGTAAACAATTAAAATATATCCTTGCTGTTGTTTCCTGAGACATCCATAATCATTACGCTACTTTTGCCAGTGCTTTGCGGCAAGCTTCATGTGTGCTGAACGCGAGGCATCCCGCCCCCCAGAAGCCTATATTTAATTTAATTCACATTTATTTGTATAGCATATTTCAAAATACATATCGTTTCTAAGCAGAAACGCATGTTTTACAGAAAATGCATGTTTTTAAATTACAATTTAGATCTGTTATCAGAGGTGACACGTGACGTTTCAATTAATTTTCATTCAGTTTCATTGTTAAACAATGCATTAAGATAAGGCAGAAACAATGAGCTCATTGAAGTAAAGAAAACATGTTAAATGATAGAAACATAGAAAACTTTAACATTGGTGCTTTTTTAAATTCTCAAAATACGAGTGTGAAAAAGTCAACAAACTGAAAAATAAAATAAAAATTGAGGTAATATTATAGTTAAAACTGGTAACTATACCAGTATTTTTTATATTTTTATATTTAATCTTATAGCTAGTTTGATCTTATGATAACTATATTAATCACTATAAAAAGTAGTTGGATCATTTAAAAGAATAACAGAAACTGTAATTATCACAAAACTTTTAAAAATAAAGAGCACCACAAACAAAGCACTGTTGTTCCAAGAGTAAAACGCTATTGATTTTAGTATTGCTTTAATGTCTCACGTGTGTCTCATTATAAGTTCAATGTAAAGAATTTAACAGTGATATCCAACAACACAACAAGCAGTCTCTGTTCCAGTATAACACGATTCCCTAATTCCCCTCACAGATCTAAACTCTTACTTTTCACTTGAAACAATCTTACAAACGAACACACACTCGCTCAGAATGAACTCCACATATTCTCCTCAGACTCGCTGCTGCTGCACTAAAAGTGTATTTCAGGACGAAGACGCCAGAAAAGACGCACAAGTATCGCTGTGATCGATGAAAACAATACTGAAATGAGTCTGTCGCGTAATCAAACTGTATAAAGTGTGTGTGATGGGTGTGTAAAGATGAGAAATACCGTGAACTGCTCTCCTCGCCTCAGAAGACTCGACGCTGCAACTCAATGAGGGAAAAGACGGCGCGAGCGAGCGGTGACGTCATTGGCCGTCAACGGTAGATGAGCAGAGACGCGCCTATACATACAGTCGGCAACGCGTCATAGTTGGGGGGCGTGGTCGGCGTGGGGGAAAGCAGCGCGACCATCCTATGTATTTGAATGACAAAAATGTCATATTGCGAGTCATTTATGCCTGCCGACCGGCAACGGTACATTGCAAAATTAACTGTAATAGGTTATGATTGCCCTTATTTAATTAAAAACTGGGTCAATGACCCAACCAAATGGCCGGAGGTGTCGTTTCCAGACTATTGTAAGTTATCTGGTTGAATCTCCAGGTAAGACATCGCGGAAGCAACAGGGGCAACACAAGCCTATATTACTCAAACAACTTACGTATAAGTTACTATAAGTCCATAAAACCATTACCAATTGTACGTATGCTTCACTCCAAACTATTAATCCTTTTGTAAAACGGTGATCAGTTAGTAGATACGAAGTTGCAGAGGGACTTTGCTGACAGTTATCCGAATTCTCACAGACCGCAGTCTGATAACCTTCAGCTGATAACGCTAATGTGACTGAGACATCCCTTATGAAAAACAACTAAAGGAATCTTGTAGTATTTTAGGACAAAATATTATAGTAACGTTAATCCTATAGGAATACTATAGTATTTTGGGACATAGCCTAGAAGTATATAGAGGTATTAAAGAACATCACAGAAGTATTGTACACTATTATAGAATACTAATAGCCATAGGATTACTGTAGTTCTTTTTCGTATGGGATGTAAAGTCAGACAAATCTGGCCCACTGCCTAACGAGTTAAACATCTACTACTATATCACACAGCAGGGACCTCTACTCACACAGTAATCTAATAAGATATGATTAATTTTGCCATTTTGTCCTCCTATCCGGTTCTGTATGTATGTAAGAAAGGCTGTAGAACTTCAATTTATAATTTGTTAGTTTATTGGTGGTACAGAAAACGACACAGCAACTCTTCGGCATGATTGTCCCATGTATTTCAATGAGCGCCAAGGCAATGTTTTCCCCCACGGGCTAAATTCACACCACGTGACGGGGCGTTCCCGGGGGCGTTTGACTGTATCTATGGCAAGCCGGATTAGCATTAAATACCCCTTGCTGTACTAGTCCTAATTTAGTTTTGACTAACTGTCCCGCACTGGGAGGTGAGCCCGGGTCTAAAAAAGAGTTTACAACAACTTTTAAACTAAACTGACACTTCTCAAAGTGTTTGTGTTGACCTGAACAGACCTTGTGGCATTCCACAGCTAAAATGAAAATATGCTGCATTTATAGCACAACCTGCTGAAGCACAAGAGTGTGAGAGTGACTGAGTATGAATGGAGTGAGAGATGGTGTTTGAAGACACACTGAGGCAAATCAATTATTTTGCCAAATACAGCTGTATTTAAATGTAATATGTAGGCCGACAGAACAAATTCTGCCCAATAAAATTTGATTAAATTTCCTGGTTGGAATAGTAGTGGCAAAAGAAGATAAAATAATGGGAAAAACAGTGCCACATTTGCGCATCGCATAACACATCTAACCTTCTTTTCAGCATAACATAATGGAGCTGATTCTGTCAAAAGTATAAATATTGTCTTGTAACATTTGTCTTGTAGCCGAGTGCTGTCAAAGATACCTATTAAATAGTGTGCCGATAGTGGGACTCAAAACAATGAGATAACTGAGTTGAATTGACTAATTGTAAAAAGTACATTTGAAATTTTGTAAGAGAGAAATTGCAAATATGATGATGAAAAGTCAAATTTATGAAAAACAAATGGGAATATATGATATGAGTTCAAGCCCTGCTGATTGACATCAGAAAGCCCCAAAAGTGGCAAGGACACCAATCAGCCCACATGACCTTACAGGGAACACAAAGAAGGACAATGAGCCAGATGAGCAGATGATTTAATACATGTTGTTGTCATTAACAGAAATAATGAAGGTTTCATTCACAGAGGACAGCAGATCAATTCAAGAAAGGTTTCTGGGACAGGTCTAACAAAAAGAACCGTGCTTTGTAATCTCAGATTATTTGAGTGAGAAACAGCTCACAAGGAGCTTCAACAATAGTCAACATCAACCAAACTTTCTTAAAATTGAATGTTCAGCCCTTGAATAGATTTAATATCAACTTAACAATAACCCCAAAGCACAAAAACATTTATTGAAGAGCAAAATATACCAAAGCAACGTAGATACGATGATGAGTACATAAACTAAAATAATAAATGGTAATGACTAATTTAAGAACTGGTTTAAGTTTAAACAATGTGTTTAGTTTTTCATCTTCATGGTTTGGTAGTAAAATTTTACACATAAAAATTTTAAGGGAATTCATCCCTCTATGACTACATGACTGAACATGACACAGATGCTTCTGAACCCAGAGCAGATACACTCATTTTTGGACCAACTGTGAATCCAGTTCCCAGGAATTTGAGCTCCACCCCGTCCAGACCAATAGATGCACCCGTGTCGAATCCAAGTCCCACTTTCACAGCAACTGGACCGGCTTTAGCTGACGCACCGGCGATTTCAGCTCGAGCAATTCCTCCAAATTTAACTGCACTGACTTCAGCCTTAACGCCGGCGTTAGGGCCTCTGGCTTCGGCCTCAAATATACTGTATTCAGCACGAGCTTTTCCAATTCCTGCTTCTGCACTGTATCCAGCCTTGGGGATTCTCTTCCCTGGTTTATTTTCATAAGATGACGCATATGATCCATGTCCAGCATAAATACCTTTTGCATTGGCATCTGCTGGTCTGTCATACGTGTCCAACATGCCTATGATTTCGCTTCCAGTTTTTTGTGATTTTGACTCTTTTATAGTAATCTCATCGATTTCATTCATGCCACTGTTCTGCCGCTGTTTGGTAGAAGGTGTGTCAGGTTCTACATCTGCAAATAGTGCAAATAGACACATATGTTTACAAAAAAATTAAGCATATATAAATGCACGCCATTTTGCGCTTAACTGTAACACATTGTAAATGTGACAAGATGGTTTGGGACGTCAACCGTGGGAGAAAACAATCCGTCCCCTTCAAATGTTCCCTCGGTTTGACAAATCGTGCCCATGTATTAATAAACCATACCCACAAGTTCCTAATCCATGCTCTCAGATTTGTAAACCGTTTCTTCTGAACCCACAAAATCATAAACCGTGGCTCAGTATAATAGAATTAGCAAAAAAGACTTCACATAGGCCTATAAATAAGAATAACCAAAAATATATAACACAAACACATTTCCAAAACTGTAAATGGTTAGAATAAACGTCTTACGTGAACTCGTTTATAGTTATAAATACAAATAATTAACATTATTATTATTATTAGGCTACATATTTAGAAGACGCTTTCATCCAAAATAGGAAAATGTCAGTCATAATACAGGTTAGACCATAATAATAAATGGCTAAAATTATCACAAATAAACACAAGATTACTATCAACTGTGGGAAAAACTTAAAATACTCTATAATTTCTACTCCAAAAATAAACTCACATAACAAGAAAACAATCAGGCACACTTTCATGACCTTCGTGAACTGGAGCACGTCTCAAAAATGAACTGAAACTCAGCGAATGGCCTCATGATATTTATACCTTTATAAAGCTTGAAATATCCACTTTTAATCTAACGAAATTCGAATACCGCCTGATTATTGTTTGCAGCCGATACTGATTTAGAAAACACTAAACAATTAAAAGGCCTTCTTATTTTTTCAGTCATTTATTAAAAAAAAATAATCTTTAGAATCTTAATATAGTAAATATAGACCAATAGTTACCGTTTTCACTATCTTCATGTTTGTCAGTGGGCATGTCACAGTCTTCATCTGCAAATAAAACAATTCACTTTACCGCAGTACAAACAGACACGGATATTTAGAAAAACAACAAGCTTTATATTAAAATGCACTTACCGTTTTGATCGTGTCCGTGGCGGCTTAGTTGTTTAGCAGACATTTTAGTGTGTCACAAGTTCTCTATCTCAGTCTCTTTGGTGGAGAGTCAGTAACGCTCATATTTATATAATTATGGGGAGGGCAACTGAAAGTGAATGTCAAAAGTCTTACAGTAAGTTTAACGGATAGCCTCACTTTTAGGAAGCTTTATTTTTAGTGTGTGTTTGCAGAAGTCACATGCTTTTCCTTGAAAGAGGATTTCCTACAGAATCTTGAAAGGGCCAGTTCATCTCGAAACTTCAGCTTTGCTTATATTTGATGTTTAGTCTCTGCGTCAGTAGGTGATTTCTGGATTGTTACCAGTAAACTGCAGTTTTAATCAGTCGGGGAGGAGAAGTTGCAACATTTCCAACATTTTTATTTTTCCCGCCTGTATTATTATGGTGGTTATCGTTAAATTAAAAAGGTATAAAGCATATTTTAATACTTTAGTGAAATTGAATGATAACTTTTATTGGTTAATGAAATATAAGGGTTGTCCCGTGAAAACTAAACGGTTACTACTGTAATTGTTTATGGTACAGTACTGTGTTTTGTTTGACCACACATTTAAGTTCTGCTGATGTTTATTTTTATTTATTTTTTGCTGTAAATATAAGTCCAAAGTAAGGTTGCTACCATATTTTTTATGGGAAAATACTGGCAACCAAGCTGACATGTTTTTTTTTTCTTTTTTACCGTAAATATGTCACAATGTGTTTTTTTTTTTTTTTGTTGCCCGTATATTTAAGTCCTGTAAAACATAAAAGGTTGCCACCACAGCTGCAAGTTTGTTACTGTAAATTTCACAGGTTTTTTTTAACAGTGTAAAAAGAATAAATAATAAATGTTTATAGTATATCGAGGGCTGGGAGCCAGAGGGGCGTAAGTGGCATTTTGGGCGAATATGAGTGCTTTATATCAAAATAAAGGTCTCGATGAGCTCTATCCAATGGTGCCAAAATACCTATCTGAGATCAAACTGTATTGAATAAAGCACCAAAAAGGCGTATCTGATGTATTTGACTTATTTTTTAAATTTGAAAATGTTTGAGAAAATGTTCACTGTGTTAATATACCATACATTTTTTACTTAAATACTCATTCGTGTAAGTATGCCTGTGGTTGCAATATTTGTGGTTTAAGATTACTAATACAGGTGATTGAAGTGTGGTCAAAAATGTTGTTTTGTTTCTCCTGTAAAGGCCTCCTCCAAGCCCTCGATATATGTATATATATATATATATATAGGGCTGCAACAACTAATCGATAAAATCGATTACAATCGATTATGAAAATCGTTGTCAACGAATGTCATTATCGATTAGTTGGTCTGATTACGTCACGGGGATTGTTTACATGGAACATGCGCTTCTTACATGCGTCTTCATGAGGCGCACACGCAGTCTCTCTCCCTCGCCGCTCTACCCTGTCTCGCGCGCGCAACACGGGCGGTTTGGAGCACATTATCTTCTGTCTCGCATGCGGGCTCTTGATTCCGTGAGTTTGAACTAATTTGCGGGCATCAGGAAACCGCTATCAATATGCAGCATACACGAAAATCAGTCACCTTTCGGCAAATTCGCCGTTTTGAAACCAAAATAGGTGACCTACGTTAATCGTGTATACTTTATGAAGCCATACTATAGTATAATGTGAGATAGAAATGTATATTTAAGTCATTAAATTCAAGTTAACGTAAGCTTTTCCCTCCACTGCGGCTGTCAGTCATTCTCTATTCGGTGTTCAGACAGCGCGTCGCGTTACAACAGTTAACATGATGAAACTCTTTCCAAGATGATTCAATGTTATTATTATAATTGATCCGTAGATAAAGGTCTATGATGTTTTTTCTATCTTGCTAGACTTTTATTGCTGTAACTTAATCACTTTCTACTGAGTGTCTGTTAGATCACAACACTATAGTAGAGTCGGCGCAGTATAATTGTTCTTCACGTGCACAGTAGCCTAACTGAAATTTAAAACTGTTAAAAGAAAATGCTTAATAAACTATTGCAAAGATACAGTATAATACACAGTCAATATATCTTTCTCTTTCCTTGGTGCTTTTAACTTTAATGCGGCGGACACTGAAGAGCTGCGCGCCGCCCTGTGACTCCGTGTTGCTTCAAGCGCATCATTCAGCGCTCGCGATGCGCATTTGCACTCTGTGCAGCTCTTTCATGATCATGTCATAATACTTTTGCACAATGAAAGCTTATTAATAGCCTTTCTTGTTCTGTCCTATCTATTATATTTTGCTTCCTCACTAAATGTGCTTTACATTTAAAACAGCTGTGCATCTGATTTTTACGATGTTTTTCATGAATGTATAACAACAATACAAAGAGCAATGTGTAACGTTTTACCAGAGTTAGTGCTACACTTATTGTCTCTTATTTGTTCCCCACTAAGGAATGTTTTTTTCACTAAATGTTCAGATTTTATAAAATAATTGTGCACTTGTGATATTTCTAGGCTAAGTTTTGCTGAGTTATCCACTAATCTAGTTTACAATAGCTTTTTGTCATAGGTTATGGTCATATATATTTTTTTTATTTGTTGTTTTTCTTTATAATGAAGTTGTCTGTATTAAGTAGATTGTTTAACACACAAAAGAGTGTGGTTTTTAGGGTTTTATTTAGTTATAATAAACAAAAAAATGAAATAATTTTTTTATCCGATTAATCGATTAATCGAAAAAATAATCGTCCGATTAATCGATTATCAAAATAATCGTTAGTTGCAGCCCTATATATATATATATATATATATATGAAGAGTTCAGATGCAAAAGCCTCTAAATGCCATTTGAAATTTTCTTCTTTAATGATGATTTTTATCAAACTATTTTTATCAAACAAATATATTTAAGTTCAGTAATTTCACTTCAATAGCAATGATAATTACCTATTAATTGTTATTTAAGTGAAATTACTGAACTTAAATATACAAGTTTGATAAAAATCATCATTAAAGAAGAAAATTTCAAATGGCATTAAGAGGCTTTTGCATCTGAACTCTTCAAATATGTTTAGATGGAGTATATTACGGCTCGTAAAGACAGCCACGAACATCAGATTCAAGCAGAATAATTTCAAAATCCTCTTCTTCCATATCATGTTTAGTTTCTTCCATCATTATCATACTTTCTATCTCCCAGCGCTTGCTTCCAAACAAGATGGCGGATATTGATTGAGCATCTGCAAGTGAAGTCCCACCCACTGATCTGTAATAGGCCTGTAGGGTGAGTGGGTCCCACACCCTTGAATAATAATGAGCGAATGTTTGTAGTCTCTAGACTTTTTAATGAAATATGACTTCCTGCTTATTATGACGCCAATATTTAAGTAAAACACTTAAATCCTTATTTCTCCCATCTCAGGGGAAAATAAGGGAATAAACCATTCAAAAATATGACTGGGTTTCTAAAGATACAAAGATACAAATGGGTGAAGTGTCCCTTTAACATTGTTTACACCACATCGTGTAGTGTGAACCTTAATTTCTTTTAACTATATTTATTAGAGTGTGTAGACATTGAACTTTATTGTATATTACTTCAAATGGGGCCTGAGTCGAGGGTAGTGTAAATTTAGCCTTTCCTTTCGTGTTTTCTTCTCAACTGCTTTACTGGCTCCCGTGCGGATGGCTTGGTATTCCCTAAGTATGTTCATTTGTTTTATTTATTTACTTTGACCAGGCTGATAAACTGGTAAAGGAGTCGTTTAAGGATTTTGAAGTCAACATTACAGGCTGATGGGAAGTGAAAAAGAGGTGGCAGAAATGTGGGTGTGGGAAGAACAACTTTCATAGGAAAAAGGATGTGATACTGACTAGGGGTCAGTTTGTGTGCAGTATACATTTCCAAACTCAGAATACTTACATATCTTTAACATGCTGAAATGTTCATGTAAATATAATTCTCTTACAAAATGTGCATTGGTCTCATTTGTTAATGCATTAGCTAACATTAACAGAGAGCAATAACCTTTGTGAATGTTAGTTAATAAAATACAGTGCATTAACTAATGTTAACAGATACAATTTTAGATCTTAAAAATGTCTTAGTAAATGTTGAAATTAACATTAAACAAGATGAATAAATCCTGTAGAAGTATTGTAATTCCATAACATAAATATATATATATAACATATATATAATTGATCACTGGGATTTAGACCTATATTGTATTTAAATAAAGTTATTTAACATGTAAATTTGCTTTATGTATTGCCCCGGCGTCGACATCAGAATCATAAGTCATTCAGTTCAGCATAACTCTAAAACTTGTCATCTCCAGAAATGTTTTGATGATTCACTGAAAATGTGACCCTGGATCACAAAACCAGTCTTAAGTAGCACTGGTATATTTGTGGGATTAGCCAACTATACATTGCATTGGTCAAAATTATAAAATTTTCTTTTATGCCAAAAATCATTAGGTAATTAAGTAAAGATCATGTTCCATGAAGATATTTAGTAAATTTCCTATCGTAAATGTATAAAACATTTATTTTTGTGAGTGAATGCAGCACAATCGCGAACATAAATGCACAAATTTAAAGGCGATTTTCTCAATGTTTCGATTTTTTTTGCATCATCAGATTCCAGATTTTCAAATAGTCGTATCTCGGCCAAATATTGTCCTATCATAACAAACCATACATCAATGGAAAGCTTATTTATTCAGCTAAATCTCAATTAAAAAATTGGTTTTGTCATCCAGGGTCACATATAGGGATCTAATAAAGAGTTTCGTGGACTGGTGTGAGAAAAACGGTCTCAGGCTAAATGCCAGTAAGACGAAGGAAATTGTGGTTGGTTTTAGTAGACTTCCTCAGAAAGTTACTAGTAAATTGAGATTGTAACAACTTATAAGTAATAACAAGGTACTAATCCTGAACCAACCCCCAAATAAAGTAGTTACTTTATACTTTCTTTGGCAATAAGTGCACATACTGTAAAAAAAAAAGTGTAACCTTTTCATTACTATAAAGAAAAGTGTAACCATTCTATAAAGTATTTATATTTTGGTGTATTTCTTCCAGTTTATTTTTTGCTGGTTTTATAGTCTACTAAATATATAC